CCGCCTGAGCTCTGCAAGTGCAGCATTTTCCAGAATGAAGCAGAGAGTGTTTGAGGACCGGGACATCCGTAGGGATACCAAGGTGCTTGTTTATAAAGCTATTGTCCTCCCAACCCTGCTCTATGCCTGTGAGACGTGGACTGTCTACAGACGTCACATGCAACTCCTGGAATGATTCCATCAGCTCTGCCTCCGGAAAATCCTGCAAATCTCTTGGGAAGACAAGCGGACAAATGTCAGCGTGCTGGAAGAAGCAAAGACCACCAGCATTGAAGCGATGGTCCTCCGCCATCAACTCCGCTGGACCGGCCACGTTGTCCGGATGCCCGACCACCGTCTCCCAAAGCAGCTGCTCTACTCCAAACTCAAGAACTAGACACTGAGAACTGGGAAGCCCTGGCCCTTGAGCGCTCCAGCTGGAGGTCAGCTGTGACCAGCAGTGCTGCAGAATTTGAAGAGGCACAAATGGAGGGTGAAAGAGAGAAATGTGCCAAGAGGAAGGCGTCAAGCCAACCCCGACCGAGACCGCCTTCCACCTGGAAACCAATGCCCTCACTGCGGAAGAAGATGCAGAGCAAGAATAGGGCTCCACAGCCACATACGGACCCACAAGAATATTGGAAGACAATCATCCTCGGAAAGCGAGGGATCGCCTAAGTACTATATTATTAGCACGGCACAATTAGTATTATATATTACTATATTGTACTATACCACTATACTATAATATTATATTTTATGACATCTGCAAATTTGATAAGGATCCCCTTCACCACATCATCTAAATCAGTGGTTCCCAACCTTTTTTGGACCAGGGACTATCTGGCCAGGGACCACTCTCTAACATTAGTACCAAAAGGGTTACGAATCAGTTTTTGGTCAACTTTAGATTCGGTTTGGTTATTTGGGGTGCAGATTCAGAAAATTGCATTGGATAGACCACATCAGCTCTAGTTTCTGATACAGAACATATGCCATCTAGTAGTAGTTGCCATCTACTTGCCCACAGAAAACCATATTTAATAATCTAGAGCTGGTGTGGTATATCCAATGAAATTGTTTGAATCAGCACCCCAAATAACCACAGGAACAGGCCTAAAAATGAAGACACCAAGAATTTTTTTTTTGGTTGGGTTGTGTATTATCTGTAGTCGTAACGGTGAGTCTGTGGACCATATTTTAGTTCTTGTGGACCACTGGTGGTCCATGGACCACAGGTAGGGAACCACTGATCTAAATCATTGATAAAAATAATGAAAGGCATTGCCCCTAGGGTTGAAACCTCCACTTGCACACTCATTCCATGCTAAAGTGTAGCCATTGATGACAGCTGTTCAAGCATTGTTTTCAAACCCATTTTATGTATCCATCTGGTGGTTTTTCCATCTATTCCATGTTTAGCAAGTCTGCTAATCAAAATATGATGGGAGACTTTATCAATTGCTTTATTGAAAGTCAGATAAATGACAGCCACAGTATCCCTACTCTCTACTAAACTAATGACCCAATTTAAAAAGATACAAGATTACTTTGGCTGCAATATTATTGACAAATCCATGCTAGCTGCATTGTCATCAGGATACAATGATGTCTTGAGTTAAGAGTTTAATTTGTTTTGTGACCAAACTCTTAACTCAAATCACTCTTCTTTCAAAGAAAATTTCCCATTGAAACCCAGTCTCTCCCCTCCAAAAAACCCTCTCCAAAAATTTTATGAGCCTTTAAATAAGAAAATATACTTTATAAATAACAAATCTATATATATATAAATGCTCATGTCGTAATGAGTGGCTTAAAAAAAAAAGAACCGCTGGGCCAATACCCACTAAATTTGCCAACAAAACTCCTCACCATACAAGGTGTGACCAACAATAATAAAAATTAGAAAAACATGGAAAACAACTTAGAAATCCTTAATAAAAGGAGAAGACATCACAGCGCATGTGTGCAGCGCATGTGTGCAGCGCATGTGTGCAGCGCATGTGTGCAGCGCATGTGTGCAGCGCATGTGTGCAGCGCATGTGTGCAGCGCATGTGTGCAGCGCATGTGTGCAGCGCATGTGTGCAGCGCATGTGTGCAGCGCATGTGTGCAGCGCATGTGTGCAGCGCATGTGTGCAGCGCATGTGTGCAGCGCATGTGTGCAGCGCATGTGTGCAGCGCATGTGTGCAGCGCATGTAAGAGCTCCTCCATCATCTCGCAGTGGGACTTGTGGCGGAGCCAGCCACAGCTCCACCAAAATTCACCATCTGAAACACCGGCCTGACCAACGGAGACAGAGGGGCCTCTTCCTATTCACTTCCTCAATGCCTCTTCGAGCCTCAACCGAGGGAGCAGAAGCAGGAGGTGGCTTCTCCACTCCATAGCAACTGCGCCTGGGAGACGCTTGGGCCGCCTTTCCCAGGAGCAATGGCAGGCAGAGAGGACTCCTCCCCCTCCTCCCTGCCGTCCTCCGTCCCTCCCACCCTCCATTCCCCCCAAGAGGTCTCCCAGAGGCCCAGCACCAAGCCCCACTCGCCCTTCCAGTGCCGCACGCCTCCCTTCCCAAGCCCTGGCGCCTTCCTGGGCAGGTGGGCCTCTTTCATCCCCACCCCCCCTGCTTCCCCATAGCCCATGGGGCAGCCAGAGTGCTGTGATCCTTCCTTCCTTCCCTTATCTTCTGTTTTTCCTCCCTCCCCTCCCTTTCCTTTACTTTCCTTCTTCCCCTTCTGTTTTTCCTAACTCCTTCCCACTCTTCCCTTTCTTTATTTCCTTCCTTCCTTCCCTTCTTCCCCTTATCCTCTATCTTTCCTTCCTTCCTTCCTTTACTTTATTTTCTGATCTTTCCTCCCTACCTTTCCTTTCTTCCCTTCTTTCTCTTATCTTCTCCCTTCTTTCCTTCCTTCCCTTCTTCCCCTTCTGTTTTTTCTTCCTCCCTCCTTCCCACCCTTCCCCTTCCTCCCTTCCTTCGTTTCCTTCTTCCCCTTATCTTCTGTCTTTCCTTCCTTCCTTCCCTCCCTTCTTTCCCCTTCTGTCCTACGTGGGGTGAAAGAGTGAAGGGCCCGTCCCCCCCCCCCCACAAGCAACTCCAAATGTCAAGGTCTTCCCCAAACTCCACTGTGTACCAATTTTGCCATATTGAGTTTTCTTCCCAAGTTTGTTCCAGATTCATCTTTGTTTTGCTTCACAGTGCTCTCCGGATGTAAGTGGACTGCTATTATTATTGTTTATTATTATTATTATTATTATTATTATTATTATTATTATTATTATTATTATTAACCTGAGGCTGGCTATCTGTCAGGAGTGGTTAGATTGTGCTTCTCCCATTTGCCAAAAGGGGCTGGACTGGGTGGCCCCTTCAAGTCTCTTCCTATGCTAGCATTCTTTCATTATTATTATTATTATTATTATTATTATTATTATTATTATTATGAGGTTGAATGGCCATCTCTCAGGAGTGTTTAGATTGTGCTTTTCCCTTATGCCAAAAGGGGCTGGACTAGATGGCCCCTGGAGGTCTCTTCCTCTCCATCATCATCATCATCATCATCATCATCATCATCATTATTATTATTATTATTATTATTATTATTATTATTAAACTGAGGCTGGCCATCTCTCAGGAGTGGTTAGATTGTGCTTTTCCCATTTGCCAGAAGGGGCTGGACTGGATGACCCGTGGAGGTCTCTTCCTACCTGAAAAACCTACAACAACCCAGTGAGTCCAGCCATGCTCTGTGTATAATGAGTACCTTAAAAACAAAAGAACCAATGAACGAAATCACACCAAATTTGGCAACAAAACATCTCACAACACAAGGAGTGGCCATCACTCAAAAAATTATGATTTGTCATTTGAGAGTTGTAGTTGCTGGGATTTATAGTTCACCTACAATCAAAGAGCATTCTGAACTCCACCAACGATGGAATTGAACCAAACTTGGCACACAGGCCTCCCATGACCAACAGAAAACACTAGAAGGGTTTGCTGAGCATTGACCTTGAGTTTGGGAGTTGTAGCTCACCTACATCTAGAGAGCACTCTGAACTCAAACAATGATGGATCTGGACCAAACTTGGCATGAATACTCAATATGCCCAAATATAAACACAGATGGAGTTTGGGGGAAATAGACCTTGACATTTGGGAGTTGTAGTCACTGGGATTCACAGTTCACCTACAATCAAGCATTCTCAACCCCATGAATGACAGAATCCGGGCAGACTTCCCACACAGAACCCCCACAACCAACAGAAAATACTTAAGGCCATCCAATCCAACTCCCTTCAACAGGGCAAGAAAATGTCATCAAACCCCTCCTGACAAAGAGCCATCCAGCCAATGATATAGATAGATAGATAGATAGATAGATAGATAGATAGATAGATAGATAGATAGATAGATATGATTCACAAACAGAGAGATATAGTATCATAAATTTGAAAGGGACCCTTAAAGGACAATGATATGTTGCATGTTCCAGAGTGGGCAAACCAGACACTCTCTACATCAACACTGACAAAGACACAGCAAGAAATACTGTTTACTCACAAGCATAATTATATATATTAGAAACCAACACTTTCTCATTACTTTATTTCCCAGATCAACAGACTGGGCTACAGCAACGCGTGGCAGGGGACAGCTAGTCTGTTTTAAATGGGAATAAATGTAAGTGTGAACTCAGATAACCCAGTTCAAAGCAGATATTGTGGGGTTTTATGCCTTGATCTCAGTGCGCTCAGCTTCTACTTCTCATGCCATATCAGCAACTACCATTCAGACACCTTTCCTTTGGCATCCATTCTCTCCTCAATGTTTTCCACCACTGAATTCCCAAGCTCCGCCCCCATTCCAATGGAAACCATTGACTGTTGCTATGGATAGAACACTTCTCAATCTCAATCACAGACACATGCACACACAACCTCTTTTCAATCTTCCTTCAGCCCCAACTCAGCTGTAGAAGGCTGTCTGTTCTCCCTAGGAAGGCAGAGTGGAGTTCCCCTCAGATAAAATGTTGAATAAATCATCCCAGCTGCTACTGATTTTATGGAACATTCTCCATGAGATGGAAAGTCAGAAACCACCACAGGGTTTTAAGTATGCTTCCTATGAGGTGACCATTCCAAGGAAAGTGAAGCCAAGAGGTGGACAACAAGAGACACTAGAGGTCACCTACCATTTGCAAATTGAAGGCAGAGGTCACATGGTGCATCTTAGCCAGAAGAAGAGCTTTGCTCCTAAAAACATTCCTGTCTTAACCTATTCTAAGCAAGGAGAACTCCAGGTAGATTATCCATTCATTCGGAATAACTGTTTCTACCAGGGTTATGTAGAGGGAAAGCTCTCTTCTTTGGCTGTCATCAGCACTTGTTCAGGGGGACTTAGGGGTCTACTTCAATTAGAAAACAAAACCTATGAAATTGAACCTATCCAGGCATCTCCTAACTTTCAACATGTAGTATATCGACTGGAAGAAAAGGAGGGTGATGAAAAAATGAAGTGTGGAGTAACAAAAGAAGATCAAAACTACCAGGAGAGCATGATGCCAAGCACAGAGAATGAACTAACCAAAAGTAACTCCAGAAGTGACTGGTGGTCACACACCAGGTATGTGAAGGTAGCAATTGTGGTAGAACATGAACGATATTTGAAATTTGGCAAAAATGAAACCTTTATTGGTATACAAGTTCTGAATATTGTCCACATTGCAAATTCATTTTATGAACCACTTTCTGTTCAGATATCTGTTGCTGGATTAGAGATCTGGTCAGAAAAAAATCTCATACACATTGCTCATAGTGCACTTCAAACTTTCAATTCTTTTGTCAGATGGAGGAGAAGATCACTAAGTAAGCGTCTGGAAAATGATGCGGCCCATTTATTTGTATACAAATATTTTGGAAAGACACTAGGACTAGCACCTGTAGGAACAATTTGTGATGACATAGGAGCATCTGCTGTAGAATCATATGTGGAATACAGCTTATTATATTTTTCTGTCATATTTGCCCATGAATTAGGACATATTCTTGGAATGAGGCATGATGGTATTTATTGTAGGTGTAATCGACGTTCTTGTATCATGGATGAATATCACACAAGCAGTGATATGTTCAGCAATTGCAGTTACAAAGAATATTTCAACCTAAGGAATGCAGATTGTTTGTTAATTCCACCAGATCACAATAAAGTATATAAAGTCAAATATTGTGGAAACAAAGTAGTAGAAAAGGGAGAACAATGCGACTGTGGTTCCAAAGCTGACTGTGAATCTGATCAATGTTGCAAGTCTAACTGTAGATTGCGTTCAGGTGCTATTTGTGCATTTGGACAGTGCTGTGTAAAATGTCAATATCTGCCAGCTCAATCTATTTGCAGAGATAACACTAGTATCTGTGATCTTCCTGAGTATTGCAACGGTACTTCTGAATGGTGTCCTAAAGATGTTTATGTACAAGACGGTGCCCCATGCGATGAGGATGCATACTGTTATCATGGAAATTGTAGTACTCATGTTAGGCAATGCAAAATGATATTTGGAAAGAAAGCCACAGCTGCTTCAAAGAGTTGCTTCAGACACTTAAATGCAGAGGGTGATCGTTTTGGTAACTGTGGCCTGAACCATGGAACTTACACAAAATGTCGTGCTGAGAATATCATGTGTGGCCGAATCCAGTGTGAAAATATTGATATATTACCTTCTCTGGAGGAACATAGTACCATAATTCAATCATCCATTGGTGATAAAGAGTGCTGGAGTACAGACTATCATGGTGGAATGAGGATAGCTGATATTGGAGCTGTGAGGGATGGCACACCTTGCGGCACGGATAGGATGTGTATTGATGGGCAGTGCCTCGATGTGTCCCTCTTGAAATATGATTGTAATATCACAAAGTGCCACAATCGAGGAATATGCAACACTCAAAAACATTGTCACTGTGATTATGGCTGGGACCCTCCAGACTGTGTAATTAGAGGCTATGGAGGCAGCCTTGACAGTGGTCCCCCTCCACCATGGAATCATGATTTGAAAAACACCAGAAAACACAATTTATTCAAAAGTTTCTTTTTTATTTCTCCAGTTGTTGTTGTTGTTGGCCTGGGTGTATTTTTCAGGGCAAAGTTAATATATCAGTGTTCAACACTGAGGGAATGGGTCCATCCAGCAGTCAAATCAAAATGGAATTCTACAGAAAATCACCAAATTTGAACAGCATGCAAATGCACAATTCAAAACATTACACAGGAAATAAGAGATGATATTATGTTGGCATGCACTTACTGTGCACAAACTGAGCATTATTTTCTGTTTCAGGAACGAGGGTTTGTGAAGATCCTGAGTTACAAACCCTCAGCCATATGCCAAGGTTCTACCTGTCCTAAAGTTAACACAATTATTGTTCACTAGTCCACTGGTATCAGTTTTCTAACATGAGATATTAGATACTCCGAGCAATATATTACAGGAGACTAAATAGATGGATTGGGATGAAGAGCATTTGAACCAGGAAATTCTGGAGTTGGTCCTGACATTATGTCAAAGAACTGAGGAAATTGGTGCAAGTCTGCGATCATGTTTTATTTTCTTAACCAGTGATAAATTCATGACCCTCTCAATACTGTCACAAACAATGCCTGAAAAATCAGACAAGTCTATTTTGAATGCCAATAGTTTCCTGGAAGTGAATGAGGGAAAGCCAACTTTAACAAAACTTTGTAGTTATTTGTTACAGGAAGATGAGAGAAGCCATGCCTGGATGCTTGTAGCCATCCTTGAATTTCACTGACTCCATTCAGAGGTTTGAAACATTCTGGTTTTAAGCTTGCCTTCTGCCTGTTCTTCTACCAGTACCTGAATTCTCACATCAGTGGGAAAATTGTCCAAGGCCATGCTCCATGGTCTTAATTCCTCCTCAGCTTTTTTCTTGTGCCCTGGGCTGATCTATGAACTCCAACCACTGCAAGAGATATTTATACCTGGACTCATTCCTGGCATAGTGAAGACATTGATCTGAAATCAGTGCAGTGTAGTGGACCACCTGAAACAAGACTGTGGCTACATCAGAGTGAGGACAAACTTCATGCACTATCATATTTTTAATTCAATAGCTAAGACATTTTTCTCTCATGTTAAGCATGCTGTATCTTTAACCTTTTCAACTAACAAATACACCAGGTCTAGCAAGAGTATATAAATGAGAACATTTGTATATATTAAATGTTAAAAGTGTTAAAGCTGAAGAAGGAATCTGTAAAGACAGATTTGGGATGTGGCCACAATATGCAAAAAATATGCTTCTATATTTTAGGACACTCAGCAAGCGAAGAACTCAAATAGCCTATCCCAGAAGAAGCTATATAGAGTCAGCAGTGCTGTGCCAAGTGACTTTTCCTTTACCTATCTTCCTTCACACATGGTGCCAAACTGTAACTGGTCAACTGTATGTCTCCTTCAGTCAGTTACTTGACAAGTGACAGCAATGATATTGGTGGAGTCGGCAACCAATAACAATGATATTTTTCTCAGTCTCTTGGCTTGATTTGGCTGTAGTTATATGACCACCCTCACAGTGTGTTATTATGGGGACAGAAAGAGGCTCTGCATGAACAAAGCAAATAATTTACAGGATTACAATGACCTCAATACAGCAGGCTCTTCAAATACTGGAGCAGACATCAAAATCATTGACTCATTATATGCTGTAGCAGTGAGTCTGGTGTTCCATCCTACAGATGTTGACTAACTGAAGCTGAACTTAACAGCAAGTACAATAGACATATCTTAATACAGCAGGTTGTCAAGGGAAGCAAGCAAATCAGGAGAACTTTATAGGAAGGATCGGGTATTAGCTTTGCAAGGGTTTCAGATCAAAGACTCCAAAATAGATGAGACATTTTTAGATTAATGGAATAACTATTTAGCTAGGAAGAGAAAATAACATGCTAATGGGGAAGTGTGCTTGAAGAAAAGGACTGCATGTGGATCTATCAGTTCCATTATCAAACTTCTTGTTAAAAAAAGAGGTTAACCTATCAACTTATATGTGACTATATTATGAGTTTAGTCTGTTTTTAGTTGCAGATATTTGTATTTTTGATAGTTGTAGAACTCTCATCCATCACCACATTTCAAATGAATTGTTTTTTTTTCTTTCTTAGCATGTTTGACTGTCCAACTTTCACCTCCATATGAAGAAATCAGAAATGTTATGATGTGGATGGTCCTGGTTTTTATATTCAATGATAAATACTTATACTTGACTAGTGTTTGGCAAAGTGTCCACATCTGAGGTCCTTGAAGCTTTAGAAAAAAATCAGGTCATTCCCCTCCCCACAGACATATCCCCAATCCCAAATAAACACAGAACTGCAATTATATCACTTATGGTCATTTCAGGTGTGCCAGTGTGCTCTGCCCCCACCCTCTTTGCAGGTGTCCATTTCAGCACTTGAGGACATTATATCTAGTACTTTCATACTTAATCCAATTTGGTAGGGCTATACATTTGTGCAATGTTCATATTTCTGTATAAGAATGTATAATTTCTAAAGTGTTCTCTCTTTTGAGTAACATCATAAGTGTTTTGCAGAATTTGATAATAAACTTGATGCATTTCTTGGTTTGTTGAAACACTTATTGCCTCTTAAGGACAATAATATTTACAAATATTCTTTGCATCTCCATGATTACTTCAAAAATGAAATGTTCATGGTTTGTTTCCATAAAAATTCAAACATTAAAAAAAACACCAAAAATGGATCACTGGCTTGCATGTTTTCTTTTTAGACAGTTCATCTTCAGGGTTAGAATGCCAAATCTTTGGGAGCAATCCTAATTTTGCCCATCTGTCCAATGATTGTCCACGTGTGTGCATATGTGCCTTCAAGTCGCCTGTCGACTTATTATAATCCCAAGAATTTTACAGGGGACAGAGCAAATGGGGGATAGTCGGAGCTACATCATGGGTCCTGAGGCTACATGTGGTCCACTGACCATACTTTTCCAGTTCTGCACTAGAAAGGAGGATTCCAACACAGTTTCCAAATGTGCAAATGAATATACACCAGTTGCACAGCTGGTGAAATGGTTCAATGTTGTATTGCTTATTTTAAAAAAGGAACATATCCACCTACGATCTTGAAACATGGTGTTCACAATCTACATTGGAATGTATACAGTTATATATCAAACCAGTCTTTTGAAAATTACTACTTTTAACTGAGCTAAGATCTAAAAGAGACATGCACAAGAAATGGAAAAGGGGTGGGGGGGAATCACCAAAGAAGAATTCAAACAAATAACCAACATATGTAGGAAAAAGATTTGTAGTGCTAAGGCACAAAATGAGCTCAGGCTTGCCAGAGAGATTAAAAACTATTAAAAGGGATGCTTTGATTAGGTCAGTAGAAAAAGGAAGAAAAAGGAAACTGTAGGGCCTCTGCATGCAGGTAGTGGTGAAACGCTAAAAGGGAATAGGGAAAAGATAGAGCTGCTCAACACCTTCGTTGCCTCAATCTTCTCCCAAAAAGAGATTGGTGTTCAACCTGAGCAGTATGGAGTGGGTGAGGTAATAGGGGAAATGCAACCAAAATTGGTAAATTATTCCAGGAATACCTGGCCACTCTTCAGGGGCAGTTGAACTTCATCCAAGCGTATTGAAGGAACTAGCAGAAGTAATTTCAGAACTACTGGCAATTCTTAGAATTCTTAGGAGAAGTCCCAGCAGACTGAAGGAGGGAAAATGTTGTCCCTATTTTCAAGAAGGGGGGATAGGAACCAAATAATTACCATCCAGTCAGCCTCACATCGATACCAGGAAAGATTCTGGAGTAGATAATTAAGGAGGCAGTTAACTTAGAAAAGAATGCTGCGATTACTAATGACTTGTTTCTCAAAAACAAGTCATGCCAGACTAATCTTATCTCTGTTTCTTTAGAGTTAGAAACTTTTTGGTGGAGTCAGGGAATTCTGTGGATGTAGCATATTTTGATTTCACTATGGTCTTTGACAAGGTCCCCCATGACCTACTTGCAAACAAACTAGTCAAATGTGGGCTAGGCAATGCTACTATTAAGTGGATCTGTAACTGGTTAAGCGATAAAACCCAAACAGTTCTCACCAATGATTCCACTTCATCCTGGAAAGACGTGATTAGTGGAGTGCCACAAGGTTCAGTTTTGGGCCCAGTACTGTTTCATTTTTATTAATGAATTGGCTGAAGCATATTTACCAAGTTTGCAGATGACACAAAATTAGGAGGCATAGCTAATACTTCAGAGGACAGGATTAGAATTCAAAATGACCTTAACAGATTGGAGAGCTGGGCCAAAACTAACAAAATAAATTTCAACAAGGACAAATGTAAGATGCTAGGCTTAGACAGAAAAAAATGAAAGACAAAAATTCAGAATGGGTGACACCTGGCTTGACAACAGAAAAAGATCTTGGAGTCTTCATGGACAACAAGCTGAACATGAGCTAACAATGTGATGCGACAGCAAAAAAAGCCAACGGGATTTTGAGGTGCATCAAAAGGAGTTTAGTGTCTAGATCAAGGGAAGTCATGGTGCATCTCTATTCCGCTTTGGTTAGACCACACCTGAAATACTGTGTCCAATTCTGAGCACCACAGTTTAAAAGAGATATTGACAAGCTGGAAGGTGTCCAGAGGAGGGCAACTAAAATGATCAAAGATCTGGAGACCATGCCCCATAAGGAGCATCTTAAACAGCTGGGTATATCTAGTCTGCAGAAGAGAAGGTTGAGAAGAGATATGATGACCATGTATAAATATGTGGAGGGATGTCATAAGGAAGAGGAAGGAGTCCTGTTTTCTGCTGCCCTGGAAACAAGGACTCTGAGCAATGGGTTCAAATTACAGGAAAGGAGATTGCACCTGCACATTAGGAAGAACTTCCTGATTGTAAGAGCTGTTCAGCAGTGGAACTCTGTGCCTCAGAGTGTGCCTTCCTTGGAAGCTTTTAAACAGAGACTGGATGGCCATCTGTCAGGGATACTTTGTGCTTTTTCTGTATGGAAGGGGGGTTGGACTAGATGGCCCATGTGATCTTTTCCAATTCTGTTATTCTATGATTCTATGATTCAGACATAGCAAGATAGCTCCCCACTTGGGCTTACTTCCAAGTAAGTATGTAAGGAACACACTGGACTAGTCTGCTAATAATTGACAACAATGGCCAGAGAACTTTAACTGACCTCCCACCCTGCTCAGCAAAGAGCTCTATCATCAGAAAGGAAGTGCATTCTTTTTGTCTCAGGACAAGTGCCTAGATTAGTAAGTGGATTGATCACACTGGCTGTGTTACTGGTTCCTTGTTTCTTGCTGAGAATGGTACTACTCACTTCTTGGGTCCCATCTAAACTGCCACATAATGCAGTTTGAAACTGCATTATATGATCAGTATAGACTCATATAATGTAACATAACTGCATTGAACTACATTACATGAGTCTACACTGACCATATAATGCAATTTCAAACTTTATTATCTGGCAGTGTAGAGGGGCTCTCTCTTCTTTGGCCAAGATGACTACCAGTTTCTCGTCTATTTCTCCTTCCTGCAGTTTCCTATGATGTTGCCATTGTGGTGGTCAGAGTTGACTAAGGCCGTGTAGCTGTTGAAGCAGTGTATGGATGAGGTCATGGGCTCTCTAAGGGCTATTTAACTAAAGATGGATCCACATTAAGACAGAGGCTCTGTGGATTGCCCTGGATGGAGCTGCATTCCTATTAAAGGAGTGAGTGCATAGCTTGGGAATGCTCCTAGATCCATCTTTTTTATTCTGTGTATTCAGGTATACTCTGTGACTTGGAGTATTTGGCAGCCAGCTTCCATCAGTGATGGCCTTGATGGTGCTAATGCAGCCACAGCAGCTCATTGAGGCTCGTTCTCAGAAGGTGTGATTGGGAGACAGCCATGGTCTTGTGAGATCCCGTAAGGTTCAATATTGTCTCCCATGTTGTTTAACATCTACATGAAGCTGCTGGGAGAGATCATCCGGAGTTTTGGAATTCGATGTCATCTGTATGCAGATGATGTTCAACTCTATCACCCCTTTCCACCTGCTACTAAGGAGGCTGTTCAGGTCCTGAACTGGTTCTTGGCAGCTGTGATTGTCTGGATGAAAGCAAAAAACATGAAATTGAATCCAGACAAGACAGAGGCCCTCCTGGTCAGTCGAAAGGCCAAACAAGGTATAGGGTTACAGTCTGTGCTGGATGGGGTTACCCTCCCCCTGAAGGTGCAGGTTCACAGCTTGGAGTGATCCTGAACTCATCACTGAGCCTGAAACCTCAGGTTTCAATGGTAGCCAGGGGAGCTTTTGCACAATTAAAACTTGTGTGCCAGCTATGCCCGTGCCTTGGGAAGTCTGACTTGGTCATGGTGGTCCACGCTCTGGTTACATCCCATATAGATTACTGTAATGCACTCTATATGAGTTGCCTTTGAAGGCTGTTCAGAAGCTCCAACTGGTCCAGTGAGTGGCAGCCAGGTTTCTCACCGGAGCGGTGCTCAGGGAGCATACAACTCCTCTGTTGCATCTGCTCCACTGGCTGCCAGTCTGCTACCAAGCATAATTCAAGGTGCTGGCCTTAGCCTATAAAGCCCTAAACAGTTCCGGCCCAGGCTACCTGTCCAATCGTATATTCCTCTACGAACCAGCTCAGAGACTAAGATCATCTGGGGAGGCCCTGCTCTTGGTCCTGCCTGCCTCACAAGTATGTCTGGCGGGGACAAGAGACAGGGCCTTCCCAGTGGTGGCCCCTCAGTTGTGGAACTCCTTTCCTAGCAACATCAAATCAGCCCTCTCCCTACTAGCCTTCAGGAAGAGAGTGAAAACCTGGCTCTGGGAGCAGGCTTTCAAAAATTAGGACAATTCAGTATTCCAAATATAGAAATATGTGCAATTTGAACTTGGAATGGCCTTAGACCTTGAACTCTGGATGGCATGTTTATAACTTTGAATGTATTTTAATCATGTCTAATATGTTGTAATTTTCAACCTTTTTAAGGTGAATTTGTTGTTTTGAGGCACTGTGTATGTGCCATTGTAAGCTGCCTTGAGTCCCCCTGCTGGGGTAGAGAAAGGCAAGATATAAATATGGCAAATAAATAAATAAATAAATATAATGGGTTGAAGATTATGTTCTCTGCTAAAATTGAGAAAAGGCAAATATGTTTAATTTTGATGGAGATTTTTTTCTAAGATAATATGTATCAAACTCAAGTGGATGTCTGTGTAGATTGCAAGAGGAGTTATATTTGCATGTCTTAGGTGGCTATTAACGCTAATGACTCTTACTTGATTCAATAGCTTGTGAGATTTATCTTCAGATCTATGACTGATCAAAAAAAAGAGCTGTGCCTGAGATGTTCCTTAGTTGATCTAAGTTTGAAGGAGATTTTTGCATATACCAGGAGGATTCACACCTATTTCAGATGGGCAATAACCCACCAATGCTGTTGAAAAAGGACTAGCCATTGGTAACTGTGCCCAAGATTTGTAGAAACATATGTGACATTTTAAGACTTTGTCTACTTAGACTGTGTCTGAAAATTATTGTGAGATCTTTAGAAGACATTCCCAACAAAATGACCTCTTCTTCAGCTCTTTCAGCTAGACATGGGGGTCTTTTTGTCCTCACCTACCTACTGTTATTCTGCTCCATTCTTGATCATTCAAGCTCCACCCCCATTCCAAAGAAAATCCCATTGGCTGTTGCTATGTACGGAATCCTCTGCCTCTTCTTCCAATTCCCATAGAATGATATTGCCATCTTTCTTTCGGCCTTTCAAGAACGGGAGAAGGTTTCCATTTCTGCAATGAGACGACAGAGGATGTACTTCACGGGACTTCTTCCTCTGACTGGTAAAACAGCAAATGCTCTATGTTGGCTGCTTATGATATTTTTGAGGAATTTTCTGACAGAGACTGCAGGGCAGACACCACCAAGAGGCTTTAGATATGCCTCTTATGAAGTAACCATCCCAAGGAAGCTGACTCCTAGATATGGACAGCGCCAACACCGAGATACGACCTACTTTTTGCAAATTGAAGGGGAAAGCTACTTTCTGTATCTCAGGCAGAAAAGGGGCTTGGTCCCTAAACATTTTCCCGTCTTCACTTACAAAGAGGATGGGGATCTCCAGGTGGACCATCCATTCATCAGAGACAACTGCTTCTACCATGGTGTTGTGCAGGGCAAGCCTTCTTCTCTGGTCACACTCAGCACTTGCTCAGGAGGACTCAGAGGTATCTTGCGATTAAAAAATGAAACATATGAAATTGAACCTGTTCCAGCATCTGACACCTTTCAACATGTGGTTTATCGCTTGGAAGAAGAAGAAGGTATCCATATGATGTGTGGACTGACAGAAGAAGAGCAAAAACTTCAAGAGGCTATGATGCAGAACACAGAGAATGAAACAGTAGAAAGTGATTTCAAGAAAAACTGGTGGGCACACACTAGGTATGTGAAGTTGGCAGTTGTGGTGGAACATGAACGATTTGTGAAGTTTGACAAAAATGAAACACTTACTACTCTACATGTTCTGAATGTTATCCATACTGCAAATTCTCTGTATGACTCACTTCCTCTTAGATTGTCTCTAGCTGGGCTTGAGATCTGGTCCATCAAGAATCTCATAGAAATTGCTGACACCATTAATGACACACTATTGTCATTTACACGCTGGAGAAGAGACTCCCTTGTTCAACGTCTACAGAATGATGCTGGTCACTTATTTGTATATAAGAGATTTGGAACTATATATGGATCGGCATACCTAGGAACAATTTGTGATAAGCATTGGGGATCTGCTGTGGAATCATATATGACTTCCAGTTTATTTCATTTTTCGAATACATTTGCTCATGAATTAGGTCATGTTCTTGGTATGAAACATGATAGGAAATACTGTAATTGTGATCGAGTTGCCTGTATTATGTCTGCAGTTCAGGCACCTACTGATCAATTTAGCAATTGCAGTTATAATTATTATTTCAAACTAACAAATTTTTATTGTTTGTTAAGTCCACCAGACTTTGAAAAAAAGGATAAAGTAAAATATTGTGGCAACAAAGTGGTGGAAAAAGGTGAGCAGTGCGATTGTGGTTCAAAAGCTGAATGTGAGTCAGATCCATGTTGTCAGTCTAACTGTACTCTCCATTCTGGTGCCAGTTGTGCTTTTGGACAATGCTGCGCCAACTGCCAGTATCTCCAAGCTGGATCCATTTGCCGAGAAAAAACTAGCATTTGTGACCTGCCTGAGTACTGCAGTGGAACTTCAGTATGGTGTCCTGAAGATATTTATGTACAAGATGGTACCCCATGCTATGACAATACATTTTGTTATCATGGAAACTGCAGTACTCATAAAGAACAATGTAAAATGATCTTTGGCAACAAAGCAAGAGTTGCTTCAGAAAGTTGTTTCAGAGACCTTAATGTTCAAGGTGATCGCTTTGGTAACTGCGGACGTACATATGGAACTTATAATAAATGTGATACTAGGAATATCCTATGTGGCCGAATCCAATGTGATAATGTGGATGAAATACCTTTTTTGAAGGAGCACCATACCATGATTCAGTCATCGACTCTCAATGGTGAATGTTGGGGTATAGCCTACCACAATGGAATGGACTCAGCTGACATTGGAGCAGTGAGGGATGGCACTCCTTGTGGCACTAACATGATGTGTATTGATGGGAAATGTGTGAGTGTCTCCCTCTTAATGTATGACTGTAATGTCACGAAATGTAACAACCGGGGAGTATGCAACACTTATAAACACTGCCATTGTGATTATGGCTGGTCCCCTCCAAACTGTCTATATAAAGGATATGGTGGTAGTACTGATAGCGGACCTGCTCCATTACAGAAGCGCATCATCAAATTCAGTAAAACACAAATTATTATAGGAATAATATTTCTCATTTTCTGTGTTGCTTCTTGGGTTGGTGCAGCTGTCTATCATTCAAGAGGAGGATGATACATCTGCTTAGATGGCAGAGGATAAGATTCTACCCAGCATAAGAGGCTTCCATAGATTGTAGCAGTGCCCAGTACCAAGGTGTCAAATATGTACACAAGAGGAAAAAAGGCAAGAGTGTGCTGACAGTGCATAATGCATGTTTTGAACCATATGTTATTTCCAAACTGTGCATGACCTTGGACATAATCTTAAAATGAAATATGATGTTGATCACAACAGGTCTGCATCGTGGCTGCAGTTCAAGCAACCACTGATAGGTTTAGCAGCTGTGGTTAAGGGGATATTTTCATATAAGGAATATCTTATTGAGAATTCCACCATGTCTTGATAAAATATATAAACTGAAGTACTGCACAAACAAATTGTTGAAAAATGGAAAACAATGTGATGCTAGTTGAAAACCTCAGTGTGAGTTGGATCCATTTTGTTAATCTAATGGTATGTCAAGCTCAGGTGCCACCTGTGGTTTCGACTAGTGCTGTATCATGTCAGTATCTTCTAGTTCAGTCCATGTGTACACAAAAAACTAGGGTCTCCGATCTTCATGAGCCATGCTGAAGGGCTTCAGAATGATCCCCTGAAGATGGTGCCCTAAAGCTGATATACAGTGTTGTCATGAGAGTGGCAATAATGAGAAGTATAGAATGATAATAGGAAAGAAAGCCACTGTTCAGATAGAGGGTTGCTTCAAAGTGCTCACAACAATCATTTGGACTACTCTGGCCTTAATCATGGAATGTGTTAAAATAAGTCATGCTGTGAATATCTTGTGTAGCTAAATCCTTTGTTTAGCATGTTTAGAAGGAACCTACTTTGATGGAGAACAGTGTCCATAATCCAAACAGCCACTGGCAATAATGAGCAGTGTGGTGGGGGAGAGGAACAGAGGGAGAACATATTACATCAGTGAATGGTGGCACTCCCTGTGGCACTGACATATCCATTGATGGGCAATGTGTGAGAATGTTTGTCAGGAAATCCAAACTCACAAAGAGCATGCAATGCCCACAAAGATTACCATTGCAATTGTGGATGGGCCACTCCTGAGTGAGTGAAGGCAGTCACTGGAGTCAGAATTGGTGGTGGGCCCTTACTGATATGGAACTTTGTAGTAATCGGGAGCAATTATTGCAGGAACCGTGTTAGTCCTTTCTGCTGCTGTTTTATGGGCTGGCCTCCATCTCTATTTCAAGAATCAGCTGAGCTATTATCCTAAAGACTTTAGTCCAAAAATTCACCCTACAGTAAGGAAGCAAGTCCATAATAAATCACAGAAATCAACTATGAATGAAGTACACAAATCATAAAATGGAAATAAGAGATATATTAAAGCTTTAAAAAAAATAGCAACCTCTAACTTTCCTGTTAAAGTAGGTAAACAATGACTTACATTACTTCTAACATTTCAAAAAAAAGTACTTAGTTTCCAGAAAAAGTCATGACTATTGGCTTACTGAAATAGAGATGTATTCAAGGTAATCCGTGCATTTAAGGTAGTCCATAAGTCCATAAGAATTGTCAAACAATATATTTAAAATTTAATTTTCATGTTCAGATCCTAAGTATTCCAAAAATCAGTTGATTATTTTCCATTTTAAAATGTCTAGTCTTGCTATCACCATTTCAAAAGTTAATACAAAGGTAACATTTTTTGCATACACGGGCAAAAAAGATGTTTATTTCTAAAAAGGACAATAGCCCATATTTCCCTAAATTATTTTGTAGGACTAGAGAGGTTTATTCCTTCCAGTTTTGTGCAATGCACATTCTTACAGGCATGATTTTAGGATCTGTTGGAAACTGGTATCTTCTCACCCTTTCAATCAAGTTTAGATGCTGTTTCCAAAATCATCCACTATTTTGAAATATCTAAAATGTAACAATGAGATCTGCATTGGAGAAGTGAGGCACTTGACTTCCCGGGCAAATCAGAATTACTGTGATAAATTATGATAATAGTTAGTATGGTATCAAATACTATTGATAAAGGGTTTTTTTTAAAAAATGTACATAATAAAATTTAGCAGCTATGTTGTTAAAGATCTGGGACTATTTTTATTTATGAATTTGTGCACTATTTTACCTTATGTGTATCTTTCTATAACACATATGTTTGTTCAATTATAGTCCATCAATAAAGGAAATGTTGCATTAATCAGATTATGAGTTGTCTCAGTTCTTGTTTGACTTTGATTTATCTTGTAGTTGCCGATATTAGCTAGAGGTATGCTTATCACATGTAGACTTGAATGGTGAAGACTATCCTTTCATAAGTACAGGCAGTCCTTGAGTTACATATATCAGATTTACAAATGACTCATAGTTAAGAACAGAGGTGAGACAACAGGAAAAAAGAGAATTCTATCCCTCAGAAGGGAAATTCACTCCTGAAAGAGTTATCATGGGGAAAAGGTATCTCAACCAAAGCTTTATCACCAATCTTTGTTTCCACAAAAAGCCTTTCCCCCCAAAATCCAATTATCACAGGGACAGAGAGGTGAAATCTTCTGAACAGGGGCACAGATAGCAAAACAAACACCACAGGGTGGTGTGTGTGTATACACACACACACACACACACATGGCTGGAGTTACATGTTAAAATGTACCTGTTCTGACTTACATATAAATTCAACTTCAGAGCAAATGTACAGAACCTAGCTTGTTTGTAACTTGGGGACTGCTTGTATTGTTAATCTATCAGTGGAAACTGTGTTGAGATTGATAACAAAGCTACTACAATTACTAAGATGATACTACAATTTTCTACCCCACAAAGTACTTTCCAGCAAAGTGACAGGAAGATCAGAGGAAACTGAGGTCCAGATGTGCTTTGGTGGGTCTTCTTGCATCTTCAACTGTACAAGTCTTAAAAGTAAAACAAAAACAAACAAACAAAAAACTGTAGAAGTATAATGTAAGAAGAATGAGGCAAAGACCAAAAGCTAACATCCTACCCTTAGCATATCCACCCATCCACTTACAGGCAGAAAACTGACTAAGTGTTATTCCATTAAAAATATGTATTGCCTTTCAAGACTGACTGGTTTATTATAGCCTGGGATTCTGGGCCGTGCAAGGTTGTGGCACATCCTTAGATACATGCAGTGCAATCTCAAAACCCTTATCTGTATGGAAGAGTTGGCTTTTCCTTCCTCCCCATCTTCTTCCCCTCCTCTTCCCCTCTTCTTCTACCTCTTCTTCCTCCTCCACTTCTTTTTTTAGGGGGCAGGTTCTGACAGCTTGGGTAAGAGAAGCTATCACAGGAGATTTGCCTTTTGTTGATGCTCTTTCTAAATTAAATTAAATGTACCCCAATCTTAAATTTCTGTATTTGATTTGTGCAAATACTAATATTTTTTCTCCCACACATGCATACTCTTCTTTGTATTGTTGTTGTGTGCCTTTCAGTTGCTTCCCATAAGGTGACCCTGTTATATGGTTTTCTCGACAACACACGTTCAGAGTGGGTTTGTATTTGCTGTGAGAGTGTGTTACGCAGGGTCACCAATGGGTTTCTACAGCCAAAATCTGTCTCTTTACAATCTTGCATGATCTTAAACTTCATGTGGGTTTATATGAGCACTGTTTTTCTGAGGATTATGATGAGAAGAAAAAGGAACAGGGAAAGGAAAAAGACACACTTGGAACTTGGGTCAATTTACCTGCCAAGTTGTTCCATCTTATTAGCAAGAGAGTTGTGAATGAGCTGATTTGTGGGCGAGGACAAGGTTAGTCTTTCTCAGCTTACCTTGTAGCTGTCAAGACATATCCAGAAAAATATTCATATTTTATTTCCCAGCATCTCATGTATTTCTTCTGTCTTGGTGGTGTAGTAGAACAAAGCAGGCTGGATTTTGCTGGGGTCATCCATTGGTAGGAGACTTGTAAGAAAACAAGAAAGAAAGTTTTAAACTTCAACAGGACATGGCTGGGAAACGTGCAGCTCCTGAGTCACTTTTTTTCCCCAAAGGTCATTTTGAAATGCCTGGGTTCCCTTTTTGTTGCTTTTAGCAAAAATTCTACCACACCACCATAGGATTCTATCTCTTCTTACCACGTTAAAACAGCTGCAGTGACTACCAGTTTGTTTCTGGGCCCAATTCAAAGTGTTAGTCATGCCCTAATATGACATAGGTCTGCACTAGGGTTGGATAGGTTCGCTCGGATGTGGCATAATTCGGGAAAAATCGGATGTTTTTGCCTTCCAAAGGAACTGTAGTCACCTATAGTTTCGACTCACCTTGCGGGATTTATTTCAGGGATGCGGAAGTGAGTCGGAACTATGATGAAGTGTTTTTAATGCAACTAAACCTGCTGGGAGATGAAACCTAAGCTGCTTGCCCCCCTGCCAATCAGAGGTTATGTTTTGTGGAGGGAAGGGGTTTGCAGCATCCGGCAGCCATTGCTGTATAAACCCAAGCACATGGCTGGAAGTCTCATTGGCAGCCAGGGAAGGGAGAGGGGAGGTTGGACCGTTGTTGCTGCTGCTGCTGCATGTTGCTGTTGGGTGTGGGGTGGAAGAAAGGGTTTGGAGCCAGAGGAAAGGAGTTTTGGATAATGGAGGAAGGCAAGGCAGAAGGGAAGATTTTGAGAGAGGAAGGGTTTGGAGCCAGAGAAGAGAGAGAAAGAAGGAAAAGTTTGTTTGGGAGGCTGGGAGAGGGTGCAATTAATTAAGTCATTTCTGGAAACTTCTCTTTTGCTCACCACTAAAGCTTTGCTATTTTTATTGGGGGTCTCTCCCATTTTTCTGGGATCTATATATTGAACATGTCCTAACAATCGTGTTCCGAAGAAGAAAGAAAAGTGAGTTTGGGAGAGAGGGAGAAGATGAAATTAATAAAGTCATTTCTGGAAACTTCTTTTTTGCTCATATGTCCTAACATGTTGAAATTTGGTATGCTAACAGGGGAGGATGTGTTGTAGCAGTATACCATTTAAAGCACCCTATATTTGAAATGATGATATATTTTTATAAATGTAATGGTTTTGATATAATAATTTCATTAAATGTTTTATTTTTTATTGTCAGGTTTTTAGATCATCCTGTGTTTTGCTTTTGTAAAGCATCATCATCACTCTTGGAACCTGCTACAGGCTGTTTTTCCTCCCAGAAGATGCTTTTTATTTTTTGTTTTGAAAAGGTGTTTCTTACATTGAAATATCCTTTAGCATAATGTGGTAAAATATCCTCATATGCCTTGTGGAAGTATAGGCCATTTGGGACCTTTTTAAAAAAGCCAAAAGAAGACAGATAGCATGTAGCACACTGTGCCTAATCCCATAAGAGTTTCCCATCAAAATTACCTTTTCTTGCTAGATACTTCTGAATCTCCTTTTTATTTTCACCCAGCCACTCTTATTATGCTTCATTCTGTTTCATTCCGCATCATCCAGGCTCCACCTCCATTCCAAAGGAAACCTCAGAGGTGCATATCTGAGGGTTTTGCAGGAACATTGTTGCCTGTTCAAACCTTGGACCAGGATTTTGAATGAACTCACTTTTCCAATGTAGCAGCACGCTGGTTAAAAACTTGAGATTTCTCTCTCCCCCACCCCATTCAATAACCAGGCAGCACAGCATAACATTTTATGCCCACTGAGGGCACAGATTCCCCAGTGTACCATATTTGGGCTTGGGCACTAGGAATATTTTGCACCCTTTTCACTGCTTATGGTGAACTTGTGATTCCCTCTTTGATGTCCCATATTCAACCAGCACCTGTGGATGCCAGTAGCTGTCCTGGATAGAGGGAGAGATTAAGTAGTTGGTTTCAACTGCAAAACGTTTTTGAAAGCTTAACTGAAAAACTATATTTAAGGGGGAAAGAGAATCTGGAATAACTCAGGTTCTCACCTAGTGCAAAAATGCACAAAGTGTAAGTGCAGTCCAGGGGCACATCCAGACAGGGCACAAAACATGCTGTCCTGGATATATGCAGGAGGCATACAGACAATGCTCCATACAAAAGCGAATGCATTCAGCACGAAGCAGGAAAACCCCACTTTGTGCTGAAGTAATTTGATAGCGGGTTACATCCGCACCTTCTTGAAAGGTGCAGATCAAACTCACTATGGCTGCTGTCTGGACTGCCCCCTCAGAAATCTAGGTCTTCTGATGGGATAGTCTAGACAGCAGCCATAGTGAGTCTAACCTGTACCTTTCAAGAAGGTGTGGATGTAACCCACTATCAAATTACTTCAGCACAAAGAAGGATTTTCCTGCTTTGTACTGAATGCATTCGCTTTTGTATGGAGCAGACAGACAGCCCTCTCATATTTTCCAGGCTGATTCAGGCTGGAAAACTGCAAGGGCACCAACCCTCTCCCCCAACCCCCTCCTCCCAAAAAGCCTTTGAAAAATAAAATAACTTATGAGGCCGGCATTAAAATGATGCAGCCCTCTTCTGATGCATAGCAATAACGTGTCAGGAGAAGGGGGGAATCACTCCTGTCCCCACTCTTCTCCTGGCACGTCATTGTTACACGGCAGGAGAGGGCCGGCAGCACTCTAATGCTAGACTCGTAAGTTATTTTATTTTTTAAAGGCCTTTGGGGGGAAGTGTTGCTTGGGTGTCTCCCTGTCCTCCCAGAAGGTACCATGAGAACATCTAGACCAGGGGTCCTCAAACTAAGGCCCGGGGGCCGGATGTGGCCCTCCAAGGTCATTTACCCGGCCCTCACACAGAGTCAACCTAAGTCTGAACCGACTTGAAAGCACACAACAACAACCCTATCTCATCAGTCAAAAGCAGGCCCACACTTCCCATTGGAATATTATTAGGTTTATATTTGTTAAAATTGTTCTTCATTTTAATTATTGTATTGTTTAAAGGGGGTTTTTTTTGCACTACAAATAAGATATGTGCAGTGTGCATAGGAATTCATATTTTTCAAATTATAATCCGGCCCTCCAACAGTTTGAAAGACTGTGACCTGGCCCTCTGTTTAAAAAGTTTGAAGACCCCTGATCTAGACACTTCTCACGAAAAGTGCAGGATTTTGGAGTGTATGGACTACAATCCACCCTGTCCTGTTTTTTTTTTTTTAAAACCAAAGGTGACGTGGATTATTCCGCTGTCTGGAACCACTCCCAATTCTTTTATACAATCCTCAAGCCGATTCAACATCTCAAAGCCACTAAATCCCACAAACTGCAGTGTGTTTCCACACTGGGTGAAGTGGGTGAAGGTGGTGGTTAATGCCTCCCTTCGGGAGGGCAAAATTCCAGCCAGCTTACAACAAGCTGTGATAAAACTGCTGTTGAAAAAGCCATCACTGGACCCCACTCAAGTCGTCAACTATCAGGTTGTTTCCAATCCTTCCTTTTTGGTCAAAGTGCTGGAACGTGTGGTGGCCTCACAACTCCAGGTATTCTTGGAAGACATGTATTATCTGGATCTGGCACAGTCTGGCTTTAGGCTGGGACATGGTACTGAGACAGCCTTGGTCGCCTTAGTGGATGATCTGCGCCGGGAGCTCGACAGGGGGAGTGTGTCCCTGTTGGTGCTGCTGGACCTCTCAGCGGCCTTCGATACCGTCGACCATGGTATCCTTCTGGGACGCCTCGCAGGGATGGGTCTTGGAGGTACTGTTGCAGTGGCTCCGGTCATTCCTGAGGGTCGGTCTCAGAAGGTGTTACTGGGGGACTCCTGTTCAACCCCACAACCATTGTTTTGTGGAGTTCCTCAGGTTCAATACTGTCTCCCATGTTGTTTAACATCTACATGAAGCCGCTGGGAGAGATCATCCGGAGTTTCGGGGTGCGGTGTCATCTGTACGCAGATGATGTCCAAGTCTGTCACTCCTTTCCACCTGCTACTAAGGAGGCTGTCGAGGTCCTGAACCGGTGCTTGGCCGCTGTGACGGTCTGGATGGGGGCGAACAAATTGAAATTGAATCCAGACAAGACAGAGGTACTCCTGGTCAGTCGCAAGGCCGAACAGGGTATAGGGTTACAGCCTGTGTTGGATGGGGTCGCACTCCCCCTGAAGACGCAGGTTCGCAGTTTGGGTGTGATCCTGGACTCATCGCTGAGCCTGGAACCCCAGGTTTCAGCGGTGACCAGGGGAGCATTCGCACAATTAAAACTTGTGCGCCAACTGCGACCGTACCTTGGGAAGTCTGACTTAGCCACGGTAGTCCACGCTCTGGTTACATCCCGTCTTGATACTGCAACGCTCTCTACGTGGGGTTGCCTTTGAAGACAGCCCGGAAGCTCCAACTAGTCCAACGGGCGGCAGCCATGGTACTAACAGGAGCGGGGCGCAGGGAGCACACAACTCCTCTGCTGCACCAGCTCCACTGGCTGCCGATATGCTACCGGGCTCAATTCAAAGTGCTGGTTTTGGCCTTTAAAGCCCTAAACGGTTCTGGCCCAACTTATCTATCCGAACGTATCTCAGCCTATCAGCCCACCAGGACCCTAAGATCTTCTGGAGAGTCCCTGCTCTCTATCCCACCGGCTTCCAGTGCGGCTGGCGGGAACGAGAGACAGGGCCTTCTCTGTGGTGGCCCCTCGGCTTTGGAACACCCTCCCTATAGAGATACGATCAGCCTCTTCGCTGATGGTCTTTCGGAAGAGATTAAAAACATGGTTGTGTAAACAAGCATTCAATTAGTTGTTACTATTGAATTTATAGACTAAGGACTGGTTAATTATGGATGACGAACTCTGGACTGTGATTTTTGTGACGAGAAGCATGGTATTATTATTGGTGGCCCAATAATTTGTATTGTTTACGTGTTGTTGTTTTAAATTGTACATTGCTTTTAATTGCTTTTAATTGCTGTAAACCGCAATGAGTCGCCGATTTAGGCTGAGATATTAGCGGTATACAAGTGTATTAAATAAATAAATAAATAAATAAATACATATGAAAAAGACACCAAAATGATAAGTCACCCTCTTGAAGCAACAGCATGCTCTTTAACACCCCAATATCCCTCCTCCAAACTGACTAGATATGAACCCAAACAAATCAGGAAGTGCAACACTAAAGTTACTATGTTGGCCATATATGATGCAACCTACTGCAAGTGCATGGGCGAGAAATATTGTCCCTACAGAAAGTGCCTAACTCTGCGATAGAGAATGACAGGGGCATACATTTGGAGGCCTTATATCTATCACCTACTAGCTCTACACAAGAAGAAGACCAGACTTTGACACCTACTCTTTCCTCAATGTCCAATGTACCTTAGCTGGGTGCTCTTTTTAAATCAAGTTGATAAGAACTTTTAAAATAGCACTGTAAAAATAGCACGGTACCTAACCCCATAAGAGTTTCCCATCACAATTACCTCTTCTTGCTGTAGCTCTTTCAGCTAGATACTTCTGAAGCCCCTTTTTATTCTCAGCCAGCCACTGTTGTTCTGTTCCATTCTGGATCATCCAGGCTCCACCTCCATTCCAAAGAAAACCTCATTGGCTGTTGCTATGTACAGAATTCCCCTCTTCTAATTCCTATGCGACCATGTTCATATTTTCCTTTTCACTTCCTAGGGACAGCTGTGTATTTCTCCTTTTGCTATAAGATCGCAGATGACATACTTCATGGGACTAATTCCCCTTTACAGGAAAAGGGCAAGTACTCTTTCTTGTCTCATTATCATGCTTTTCAGGAATTTTCTCATAGAAACTGCAGGACAGATACCATCACAAGGCTTTGGATATGAATCATATGAGGTGACCATCCCAAGGAAGCTATCGCCAAGATATAGAGAACAAGAAAATCAAGGTATCACCTATCTTTTGCAGATTGAAGGGAAAAGCCACATTCTCTTTCTCAGACAGATACAGGGCTTGTTTCCTAAACAGTTTCCAGTCTTCACTTACAAAGAGGATGGGGAACTCCATGTGGACTATCCATTTGTCAGAGATGATTGTTTCTACCATGGTGTTGTGCAAGGTATTCCTTCCTCTCTGGTCACTCTCAGTACTTGTTCAGGAGGACTCAGGGGTGTTTTACGATTTAAATATAAGATGTATGAAATTGAACCTGTTCCAGCATCCGTCACCTTTCAACATGTGGTGTATCGATTGGAAGACAAAGAAGCTGCCACCCATATGATATGTGGGTTGACAGAGGAAGAGCAAAAACGTCAAGAGGCCATGATGCAGAGTGCAGAGAATGAAGTAGCAGAAATTGGTTCGAGAGGAAGCTGGTGGACACATATCAGATATGTGAAGTTGGCAGTTGTGGTGGAACATGAACGATTTGTGAAGTTTGACAGAAATGAAACACTTACTATTCTACATGTTCTGAATGTTATCCATACTGCAAATTCACTGTATGACCCAATTCCTCTTCAGTTGTCTCTAGCTGGGCTTGAGATCTGGTCCATCAAGAATCTCATAGAAATTGCTGACACCATTAATGACACACTATTGTCATTCACACGGTGGAGAAGAGACTCCCTTGTTCAACGTCTACAAAATGATGCTGGTCACTTATTTGTATATAAGAGGTTTGGAACTATACATGGATTGGCATACCTAGGAACAATTTGTGATAAGCGTTGGGGATCTGCTGTGGAATCATATATGACTTCCAGTTTGTTTAATTTTTCAAACACATTTGCTCATGAATTAGGGCACATTCTTGGTATGAAACACGACAAAAAATACTGTAGTTGTGACCAAGATGCCTGTATTATGAATACAGTTCAAATACTCACTGATCAATTTAGCAATTGCAGTTATAAAAATTACTTGAAATTAAGGAATTCATATTGCCTGTTAATTCCACCAGATCTCAATAAAATTTATACATCCAAATACTGCGGAAACAAAGTGATGGAGAAAGGCGAGCAATGTGACTGCGGTTCAAAAGCTGAATGTGAATTAGATCCGTGCTGTCAATCTAATTGCATTTTGCGTTCAGGTGCCACTTGTGCTTTTGGTCAATGCTGTGCCAAGTGTCATTATCTTCCAGCTCAATCCATTTGCAGAGAGAAGAATGGCATTTGCGATCTTCCTGAGTATTGCAACGGGACTTCACAGTGGTGTCCTGATGATGTTTATATCCAAGATGGTACCCAATGCAGCAATGGCGCATTTTGTTATCATGGAAACTGCACTACTCATAGTGAACAATGTAAAACCATCTTTGGCAACAAAGCAAAAGTTGCTTCAGAAAGCTGCTTCAGAAAAATTAATGTTCAAGGCAATCGCTTTGGTAACTGTGGGATCAGATATGGAATTTATAACAAATGTAATGCTGAGAATATCCTATGTGGACGAATTCAGTGTCATGATGTGGATATCTTGCCTTCTTTAGCGAAACAGAATTCTATCATTCAGTCACATGCTAGCAATGGTGAATGCTGGGGTACAGTTCATCATCGTGGAAAGGAGACAGCCGATATTGGAGCAGTAAAAGATGGCACTCCATGTGGTACTGACAAGATGTGTATTGAAAGGCAATGTGTGAATGTCTCCCTCTTGAAAAATGACTGTGATGTCTCCAAATGTCATAATAGGGGAGTATGCAACTCTCGCAACCATTGCCACTGTGATTATGGATGGGCCCCTCCCAACTGTCTAAATAAAGGCAGCGGTGGCAGCATTGACAGTGGACCCCCTGCACCACAGAAGCATAATATGAGTTTTACTAGAAAACTAACTATTCTAGGAATTGTATATATTTGTACTGTTGCTGTTGTGTGGACTGGTGTGATTGTATATTTCAAGAATAAGTTAATAGATCAGTTTAGAAGGCTGAGGACACAATTTCATCCAACAGAGTTAAATCAGGAAGAAAGCACATAGTAGATAAAAGTAATAACTAATGACCAGTATTTTGAATATATACATAGGAAATGATGTTCAATATGCATTTGAGAGTGCAAGATTTGAATATTATTTTAAAGCTATATTCTTCTAGACACATGGGTTTATAAAATTATTGGTCTTATCAAGAGTGATGAAATCCTCGACTATATACTGAAACTATCTACAATCTATACTTCATAGATACCCATTCATTTAGCCAATGTGTCCTGCAAACATTCAGTCCAAACTCCCAGTTACCAGATCCCCCTGCCACCTAAAACCCATAAACAGGTTTTGTGTATGCTCAACCACAATTTAATGTTTTCTGCTTCAACATAGAATTGCAAACATATACCCTAATATATGTGTTACAAATGGTAGTTATACTAAGTACAAATGTTAGAATGTAAAAGGCACAACTTAAATATTGGAATTTAAAATATGAACGTGTATATAGTTCATATCACCTCCTATGATCCAATATAAATGCAACAGCAGTCAAGGTCTCTCTCAATATCATCAGCGCCAAGATGACTTCATTTTATTTTCAATCATTGTTTCTGATTAAACTCTGTTGACATCCATCAGTGTATATTTAACTTTGTGATGTGAAATAACCAGCAGGGGAAAAACATTTATTTGTAAACCAATGATAGTTTTTCACCAATAATGGAAATTTTTCCAATTTTTGACTGAGCAAAGAAATTCAGATTTGCCAACATTTCTCATATAAAATAATTAAATGCTTTTTCTCAGTACCACCAATAAAAAATTGTTGTTACTAATGACATCGATGGAAGTTTGGCTGTGATCAAATATTCATACTAGATTAATATTTAAACCAGATTTCTAATAGAAAAAATCAGAAAAGGCCAACATAAAAATTACAAACTAAAATCCATAGATTTCTATCATCTGGGTATTGTAAAGCCAACATTCAAGGAGAGGGGAACAGTCATTGTAGAGAAATGGATCCATTCCACAGGTAACAGGGACCCGTCTAAAGTTGGGCAATCATTGCATGAAACAGATGTTGGCTAAGCCCACATTGCAATAGATTCCATTCATCTCCTGAACAATTTCCTCTCAAGTACATCTCCCAGTTCCTCTTTCTTCCAGCTGTCTTCCTAAGTTTTTATTTGCTTATTTTTAAATCAAAAACTATCATGCCAAGTCTGTGATTATAACAGATTATGTTTGCAAGCTTGCTTTGCCTTACTAACCTACCACTCGTGTCTTATGTCCTACTCTTCCTATTTCTTTTTACACTTTGAACTATAGCTGATAGTGTAGATCTGAAGCTGCACATACGACTCCACCTCATCCACTTATGATTGATGACCAGGTTCTCTCCTTTTTCTTAGATGATGCCCAAAGAGGCAGAGCAGTAAATGAGCCACTTTATCTCATTCAACATTCCGTTATACAGGTTGAGTATCCCTGATCTGAAATATCTAGAACCAGTAGTGTTTTGGATGTTATATTTTATGTATTTATGTTTGTTTGGTTTTTGAATATGTTCATAGTTCATAGAATATGTTCATATTAGAGATGGAACCTAAGTTCAAAAGAGATATTGACAAGCTGGAACGTGTCCAGAGGAGAGCAACTAAAATGATCAAAGGTCTGGAGACCATGCCTTATAAGGAGTGGCTTCAAGAGCTGGGGATGTTTAGCCTGCAGAAGAGAAGGTTGAGAGGAGACATGATAGCCATGTTTAAACATTTGAAAGGTTGTCATAAAGAAAAATTAGAAGGCTTGTTTTATGCTGCCCTGGAAACTAGGATTCGGAGCAATGGGTTCAAGTTGCAGAAAAGGAGATTCCATGTGAACATTAGGAAGAACTTCCTGATTGTAAGAGTTGTTCAACAATGGTTCTGTCTGCCTTGGAGTGTAGTGGAAGCTACTTCCTTGAAGGCTTTTGAACAGAGGCTGGATGGCCATTTGTCAGGGATACTTTGATTGTGCTTTTCCTGTATGGCAGAGGGTCTGACTAGATGGCCCATGTGCTCTCTTCCAACTCTATGCTTCTAGGACAGTACTGTCAGTCAGAAAACAACGTGTATGTATATACATTGATAGCACTTAAAACTGAGGCAAGGCAGTTTCCTCTTGTTCACAATGTAAGCCAAGTCAGCTTCTCTTTCTCTCTCTTTCCCTCCCTCTCTTTTTGTAAATGCATGTGTTTGTAGACATTAACATTAGGGGTTTGCACAATATCATTTTGATATACCATATTTGTGGGAATTCGGGTGATCTGTCAGCCAGATCCCTGGAAATGGGATGGGCAGGGAGAGGGGGCAGCTGAAGGTCGGTAATAACAAGGCACGTGTTGGCTGATATTTGGTTATATTGGCTGTCGTGAGAAAAGCAACTGCACGTGTACAGGCTTTTCCTCCCTCACCCCCGTTAGTCTTGCCAGAGCCAATCAGAAGAAGAAGGGGGATCACATCTCTTTTTGCAAAGCTGGTCAATATATACCAGGGCAAGCTCCACCATTTTTCTGTGGCATCCTGGTGTTTGAGAGAGAGAGAGAGAGAGAGAGAGAGATCATGTTAGCTAGCTCTATTTGTTCTATCTCAGTGCCGTTACTCCTTCTTAGTGTTTAGGGATTTTGTTTTTTTAGAATTCCAACCTTTTTCTTCTGCATTAAATTTTCTTTGTTAATATCTTTCTTATAATTCTTCTTTTAATTTTGCTGGGGAGGAGTGAGTGGGTGTGCATTTGGGGGGGGGGGCGGCGCTGTGAGATTTTTGAAGGGGGAGGTTGTTTTAAGTTGACTGAGTGTACAATAGGTTTAGGGAATAGCCTGACTCCCTTGAGTCCTCATGGGGAAACTTTCACCAGCTCTACCTTCTGACTTCTGTACTCTGTCCTACACCAATAGCCTAAGTTTCTCCTCCCACAAAAATAAAAAAACCCATTTCTTCTTCTAGTTCATGTATTTGACCCTCAGTCTCTGCTATTCCCTCTCCAGCCCTACCTTTTGACTTGTGTGTGTGTATTCCTGCACCAGTCTAGCAGCCTTCCTCCTCCTCCCCCATTTGTTTATTTTTTATTTGTAGAAACTTCAAACATTTCCTAAAAATCAGTGGATGATCCAAACATTCAGAAACTTGAGGGGCTTTGAGACTTAAATGTGTCCTTCAAGTATGGCTATTTTAATTGTGATAGCCATAAAAATGACAGAAAGAGGAACCTTACTATTTTTCCCAGTGTTGCCAATGGGTCAGATCTTCCTGGAGCAAAAACGGAGCTTCTGCCTGACGGATCACAAAATAGTATTTCCCCCCTCTTGACTTTGGGAATGTCCTGGTAAATGGAATGGGGGAAGGCGAAAACAGAAATGAAAATGGGATGGGGTTTTGATTAATCGTACACCCCTAGTTAACACATGATATAGGCACTTCCCAGAAGGGTCCAAACAGAGCAAACTGTAAATCTATGGAGCATACGAGGTTATTTGAAGACTTTCCAGTCTGGCAGATGAGACCTGGGCAACTGGGTTTCAGAGATCTCAAACTGAGTAACATACTCTATCAAGATTTGAAACCCACATTTCTATTATTATTATTATTATTATTATTATTATTATTATTATTATGTTTTTATATCCTGCTTTTTCTCTCCATACAGAGACTCAAAGTGGCTCACAACTAAAAGCATTGCAACATAACTTAAAATATGCAAATATACAAGTATTAACAGTATTGAACATAATTAAAAGCATATAAAATCACAGCGGCCCCTGACAATCTTAAAAATCTTCTTCTTTAAAAACTTTTCTGAATAAGGTTTTAGCCTCTCCTGAAGACCTCAGGACCGGGCAGGTTCATACAAGGGGATGCGGTCAGCCTAATAGCCTGGACCTGAACCATCTAGAGCAGTGGTTCTCAATCTGTGGGTCCCCAGATGTTTTGGCCTTCAACTCCCAGAAATCATAACAGCTGGTAAACTGTCAGGGATTTATGGGAGTTGTAGGCCAAAATACCCGGGGGCCTACAGGTTGAGAACCACTGCTCTAGAGTCTGAACTCAGCTGAGGGCCATCTATATTGCCCTGGACAAATTATTTCCTAGGGAGCAGTAACCCAAAAAGCCAGTTTTCTTCTGTAGAAAATAAATGCATCCTCTCCGCCCAGTTTCCTTCTGGATCATTTCTGCCTTGTTGATCTAGGGAGGGAGGGATATTTCTTAAGGGAACCAGGACTGTCATCTCTAGAATATGTCTTCAGGATAGCATCTGGCTCAGGCTCATAGTTGACGCCTGGCTCCAAATATAGCTCTTGCATGACCATAGCTACTGGTTATTTTAATCTAGTTTACCTTACTAGGTTGGAGTTTATCTCACTACGTGGCACAGGATAAATGTGATGACACTGATTGACATCATATCTCTAGAACTGTTTACATTTGTATCTTCAGGATGAGCTCAGGTTAGATACTTCTCAATAACTATGGCAGATGAAGTTTTGGAGGTTGAAATGGGAATCTTGATTCTTCTAGTGGTCTTTGGCATCAGAAATCATCAGATTTTACAGGGAGGTAATTAGACAGAAGAATATCCAGATAGTCCTCTGGGTAAGTTGTAGTCTGGTTTATCAGGAACATGTTATATGTAACATGTTCTCTGTGTTACTAATGTTGTTTAGTGTTAATGTCTCTGGAAACAGATAAACATTAAACACATTTACTAAAAGGTTCTGCACTACTGAAATCTGATGGCATCATATACCCTGCCTTCTTGCTTCTTGAAGAAATCACCAGTGCACAATTTAATCATTAAGTAAACATATGAAAGTATTTATTTATTTATTTATTTATTTAAAACTTTTATATCCTGATCTTCTCAACCTCCGTAGAGGGACTCAGACTGGCTAACAACAAGCATTCAATGTACAGCCTAAAACAACATATATCAATAGAAAAAATAAAATGCATATAGAATAAAATACATATAAGCTAATTTGCCAACAGTAAAATCATGTCCAAACTCAGTCCACATGTGGTCAATTGTTGGGCTCGGTCATTATTCTGGGAAGGCCTCATTCCATAGCTAGGTTTTCACTAGCTTCCTGAAGGTCAGGAGGGAGGGGGTGGATCTATATGAGGAAAGGAGATGGCAATGTGGGAGGGGATTGAGTCCAGGAGATATTGCCTCTACTTTCCCCTCTCTCCCTCCCTCGCTTGGATGCTTTCATCCTGGCACTGATTTAGCTCTCCTCCTTTTCCTTCCCACTCTAACTTTCCCTTTCTCTGCCATCCTTTCTGTCTGGCCCCAGACTCACTAAGTCCCGCCCACATTCCAAAGGCAACCCTACTGACAGTTGCTACAGAATGAACCCTCCTTCCTATCTCTTTTGTAGCCCCATTCCCATTTTGCTTCTGCCCTTTCCTGAGCTATACTAGTCAGAATAAGAAAACAGAGCAAGATCACCCAGAGGACTCTTTCTCTTGGCAAAGATCATGACTTTTAATTTTGTTCCGCTGATGGCGGTGATCTTGTGGAGTCTTTCCAGTGAGACTCTAAGTCAAAAACTGCCTCTGGGTTTCAGGTATGCTTCATATGAGGTGACTATCCCAAAGAAACTGACTCCCAGAGATGGACAACAAAATCCCCAGGATATCAGTTACCTGCTGCAAGTTGAAGGGAAAGGTCATGTCATGCACCTCAGGCAGAAGAGGAATGTTGTCCCTAACCTCTTTCCTATCTTCACATATAGTAAGGAAGGAAAACTCCAAGTAGACTACCCATTTATCAGGAATGACTGTTTCTACAATGGTTTCATACAGGATGAGCCTCGTTCTTTGGTCACTCTCAGCACTTGCTTAGGAGGACTCAGTGGTTTGTTGCATTTACAAAATGAAACCTATGAAATTGAACCTGTCCAGGCATCTGCTGGCTTTCAGCATGTAGTGTATCAGTTGGAAGAAAAAGAGGATGACCTTCGAATTATGTGTGGGTTCACAAAGAAAGAGCAAAGTCGTCAAGAGGCCATGATCCAAAGTAAAGAGATTTTGGCAGCCAGGGGTTTTGTAGGAAAGTGGTGGGCTCACACTAGGTATGCAGATATTGCAATTGTGGTCGAACATCAACGTTATGTCAACTTTGACAAAAATGACACTTTAACAGGTATACGGGTTCTAGAAATTGTCCATACTACGAATACATTCTATAAACCACTTGGTGTTGTTATATCCATAGTTGGACTGGAGATCTGGTCTGAAAAGAACCCCATAATGATTTCCAGTGAATTGAATGTATTGCTAGATCATTTTAACAAATGGAGAAAGCACACATTAAATGACTATCTACCAAATGATGCTGCTCATTTATTTGTACACAAATTTTATGGACAGACAGCTGGCTTAGCATTTACAGGAACTATCTGTAATCCCCAATGGGCATCTGCTGTAGAAATATACATGAGCTTCAGTGTGTCCTTTTTTTCTGTTATATTTGCCCATGAATTAGGACATCATCTTGGCATGGATCATGATGGAGAACACTGTACTTGTGAGAAAAAATCCTGCATTATGGCTCAATTTCCAGATGAAGTTGATAAGTTTAGCGATTGTAGCTATAGGGATTATTTCAAACGAAGGAATACTCATTGCTTATTAACTGCTGCAGATCCAAATGCTGTATTTAAACTCAAATACTGTGGCAACAAAATTGTGGAAAAAGGAGAGCAATGTGATTGTGGTTCAGAAAGCCAATGTAAGCATAATTCATGTTGCCAATCTAATTGTAAATTTCGCTCTGGTGCTGTTTGTAGTGTTGGACAATGCTGTGCCAGCTGTCGGTATCGTCCAGCAGGAACTCTCTGTCGGAAAAAAAATAGTGTATGTGATCTTCCTGAGTACTGCAATGGGACTTCAGAATGGTGTCCTGAAGATGTTTATGTACAAGATGGTGCCCGCTGCAATGATGCTGCATACTGTTATCATGGGAACTGTATTACTCACAATGAACAATGCAAAATGATATTTGGCAAGAAAGCCACTGTTGCTTCAGAGAACTGTTTCAGACTAATTAATGCACGGGGTGATCGCTTTGGCAACTGTGGTATTAAGTATAGAACTTACAACAAATGCAAGGCTAGCCACATCCTGTGCGGTCGGATTCAGTGTGATAATGTGGAGAAATTACCTACTCTGGAGGAAGATAGTACCATAATTCAAACATTCATTGGCAATAGTTATTGTTGGGGTACAGACTACCACAGTGAACCAGAAAAGGTTGATATTGGAGCAGTGAAAGATGGCACTCCCTGTGGTGCAAACATGTTGTGTGTAGACAGGCAATGCAAAAATGTATCTACCTTGAACTATGACTGTGACTTAAGAAAATGCCACAATAGGGGAATATGCAACAATCGAAAACATTGTCACTGTGATTATGGCTGGGGTCCTCCTTACTGTATGGGTAAAGGCTATGGTGGCAGTATTGACAGTGGACCCATTCTTCAAGATAGAAGTGTTGTCATTTCAGGGGTTATTACAGGAATACTATTTGTCCTCGTGCCAGTTGTTCTTCTGGGTGCATATTACAGGACTGAATTGAGACAGCAGTTTAGAAGATTGAGTTCAAGTATTCATCCAGCAGATGTACCATAACTCTCAAAAAGAAAAAGCCCACAAAAGTGCTGGAAAATACATTATGTTTTTTGAAAGAAACACAGAAAATTTTGAGGGTATTAATATATGAAACATATATGTGCAAAATTTTCACCATTTTTAAATGCTGTATTTTTCTAAAAAAAAAAAAGGTTAGTCTCAGAGTAAAATCTTGCATTCATCAACAGGAAATATGTTATTTGTATACATGGACACTAGAGATTTGTGCAATATTTTACTCCAATGAAAACTCTTCTAATATTATATAATAAAAAAATTCTGAAACAGATTATGTATTTCAAACAAAATCACACTTTTCAGATAGAAGAACACATATTCAGGGCAGCTGAATTTGTACAGATGTGCAGATGTTGTTTAAGTAACTGAAATTTTGACCTTGCATTCCACTGTCTGCACGACAATTGAGTCACAGTGCAATTGAGTTTGGAGCTAGGGCCATGGATAAAAAGGATCCATGTCCAGCAAGCATTAAGCTAAACCAAAATAGACCAGGACAAAGTAACCATTCACCAGGATGAAGACAAGCCACAGACATTTATTCAATCTGGCCAGATAGGATGCATGTACAAGCGATGCTTTCAAAAGTACAAGCATAACATGAATGCAGAGATACAAGGCTTTATACATTTGACAGTTACTTAAACCTCCCATTCCCTTCCCTGATTGGCCAAAAGAGGGGCCAGTTTGGATCCATGCTCTGATCGGCCAAGGCTCCTATGATGTTGACACCTCCAGGCAGGAATTCCCTCTGGTGAGGAGGAAATGATAGGAGATTGGTCCAGGAGAGCCAGTCAGCTGTGGGAGGTGTCCTCATGGGAGGGGGAAGATCAGTGTCCATATTTGGAAATGCAAATGCCGAGTGGTTCAATTGTCCAGTTTCAGGTGATGGGGAAATGTTGGAAAACAAAGGTGTGAGACTTCAGGAACAAAAGGTGATGATTTCTTCAATCAAGTCCTGGGCTGGAAATGAAGAAATTTACAAGTGTTAATATCTTTAAGTTTCTGTTTCTACAGCCAGTGGAATACTTGACTGGACAAACATTGGTTGACATTATCAAATCAGACAAAGAAAGTGTCTACTGTTCTATACATACAAACAATGGGATTATCATGCTGCCCAGGGATAGCCGGGGATCTGCCCAGCCTTTCCTGTCCAGGAAATGTCTCTGTGGGGTGGCTGAAATGTGAAGACTTCTGGGATTCACCTAGTCATATCCTGGCATGAATTGAATAATTGAATATATTATTATACACAGGAAGATAGAAAAAGTATCAAAGGATACAAAGTAGGCAGAAAGTTGAAATAAAAAGATATTAAAGAGTTGAGACAATATAGATTTGCGGGGGGGGGGGGGGTCACTGCTGGTGGTCTGTTTTCGATATCCTTCTGCGCAATTGCAGAAGCCCAAAAAAGGATTTTGAAAATGATGCTGTCACACTCTTAGAAAGTTTTAATATTTACTTCAATTTTTACCATTGTAATTTTAGTATACAGATGTTTGATACTGTTTTAACTATCATATTCAATGCTAGGTTTTGACTTTGCTTTTAACATTGTTTCTTAGTCCCTAAATGTATATGTTCTTATTCTGATTTTTGTACATTTTTGGTGCTGGTCATAGACCATAAATAAATGTATGTATGTATGTATGTATGTATGTCTATGTATGTATGTATGTATGTATGTGTGTGTGTATATATATAATAATATATATATAAATAAAAATTATATATATATTTAATTCTTGTGGCCTTGTCTTCATTGTGGCTTGCGGGAAGCCCCTCACCTGGCTTGCACTGCCCATCAGGCCTGACAAGCTGCAAAAGCCAGGTGAGGGAGGCAAGACCGCGCTGCCTGGCCTTGCGGGAAGCTCCTCGCTTGGCTTGTGCCGCTTGCTAGGCCTGTTGGGGAGTGCGAGCCAGGCGAGGGGCTTCCTGCGTCGCCAGCCAGCCCACACGATTCTGCCTCCCTTGCCTGGCTTTTGCCGCTTGCCAGACCTGGCGGGCGGTGCAACCCAGGTGAGAGAGGCACCACTGCGCAGCCTGGCCTCGCGGGAACACCCTTACCTGGCTCACGCCACCCGTCGGGCCTGGCAAGTAGCAAAAGCCAAGTGAGGGAGGCAGCACTGCATGGCCTGTCCTCACATTTTGCCTCTTGTCCTGGTCACACTGCCTGCTAAACTTGGCAGGCAGCAAAAAACGGACAACAGAGGCAGCACTGCGCAGCCTGGTGGAGGGGACGGGGCCAATGGTCATGGCACCGCAACTCCTCCGAAATGGCCAGGTGACCCCTCTGGGGGTCTCAATCCCCAGGTTGAGAACCGCTGATCTAGACCAAATTTGGCACAAATACTCAGTGTGCTCAATATGCTGGGAAAACAGACATTGCCATTTGGGAGTTGTAGTTGCTGGAATTCATAGTTCACCTACAATCAAAGAGCATTCTGAACCCCACCAGTGATAGAATTGGGCCAAAAGAAAAGAAAAGAAAAGAATTGGGCCAAACTTCCCACACATAACCCCCATGCCTTGAAGGAACTTGCTGGTGCGAGCCTCCCTCCAACCTCACACACTCCTTCAGGGAGAGTGTAACCTATTCATTTAGGGAACATTATCTATCTACATCTATTGATTCATATATTCATTCATTTATTTATTTCCAACATTTGTACCTCATCCTTCTCAACCCCGGAAGGGGGACTCAGGGCGGCTTAAGGTAAAGGTTTCCCCCTGAAATTAAGTCCAGTAGTGTCCGACTCTGGAGTGTGTTGCTCACCTCCATTTCTAAGCTAAAGAGCCGGCGTTGTCCATAGACACCTCCAATGTCATGTGGCTGGCATGGCTGCATGGAGCGTTACAGGGCAGCTGACAATGGCAAAAATTCAATGTCAACACATACAAACTACATACACAATATATAACATTACACATTAAATAAAACCATTGAGTTAAAATCCATTTTAAAACATGTAGCAAATATTATCTATCTATATGTATTATTTATTTTTAAAAAACTTTTATCTGTGTATTCATTTAGAGAACGTTCTTTATTTGGGGCATATTATTTATCTATTTATTTAGGGGAGGCATGGGCAAAATTGGGCCTTCCAGGTGTTTTGGACTTCAACTCCCGCCATTCCTAACAGCCTCAGGCCCTTTCAGGGCCTGAGGCTGTTAGGAATGGCGGGAGTTGAAGTCCAAAACACCTGGAAGGCCCAAGTTTGCCCATTCCTGATTTAGAGGTGAGGACTACGACTCCCAGACTCCTTCGCGGCGCCGCTTGATTCCTTCCTTCCTGTCTGGGTCAAAACTGAAAGCGCTGCTGGCGCTCCAGCAGCCGTCTCGCCAGCGGCCTGTTTCACCTTCAGCGGCGGAGATCGGAGGGCGGAAGGCGGCCTGGCTTCCGGGGGAGAGGCAAAGGGACGACTGCAGCGGCATGAACGGCGGAGTGGAGTGCCTCCTCTCGGAGGAAGCCATCGACCTCACGCGGGGGCCTTCAGGTTAGAAACCCAGCACCTTGCCTTCCCTCCTGCTCTTCTCCCTGACCTCTAGGTGCAGACACACTTGGAATTAACGCGGTTTTGACCCCGCTTCCACCTACATGGGATGCCCGGGAGTTGTAGTTCTACCAACTTCAGTCTTCTTGGCCAAATGCCAACCAAACCACTTCCATGCCAAAGGCAGGGTTTGGTTTGGATTGCCATGGCCTTCCTCTGAGGCTGAGAGAGTGTGACCCTCCCAAGGGCACTCTGCCAGAAGTAGGCTCCTTCCACACAGCTGAATAAAATCCCACATTTTCTGCTCTGAACGGGAATATATGGCAGTGTGGACTCAGGGGCCTTCCAGACAGGCCCTATAGCTCAGGATATGATCCAAGGTTTTCTATTTATCTCAGACTATCTAGCAGTGGGGACTCTTATAATCGAGTTTAAAGCCAAACAACTGCCATCAGATCCTGGGGTGTAGAGCCTCTCAGCTAATTTATTTATTTATTATTTATTTAGAGCTCTTCTCGACCTCCGAAGAGGGACTCAGGCCGGCTAACAGCAGAAAATTTAACACAAATATAGTAAAGATAATAGCATCATAATACATTAATACAAAAGACATTAAAGTACAGATCATACAATATCATACAATTACAAAAGCCAGGTCGCCGGAATAACCCACGCCCCTTCCACACAGCTGAATAAAACCCCACATTATCTGCTCTGAACAGAAATATATGCCAGTGTAGACTCAGATAACCCAGTTCAAAGCAGATATTGTGGGATTTCTTGCCTGGATATTCTGGGTTATATGGCTGTCTTGAAGGGCCCGTAGACTCTTCAGCCCCATCCAAACTGACCATATCATCCAGTTCCAGGAATAATAATAATAATACTTTATTTATACCCTGCTACCATCTCCCCTAGGAGCCCCCGGTGGCGCAGTGGGTTAAAGCACTGAGCTGCTGAGCTTGTTGATCGAAAGGTCGCAGGTTCGATTCCGGGGAGCGGCATGAGCTTCCGCTGTCAGCCCTAGCTTCTGCCAACCTAGCAGTTCAAAAACATGCAAATGTGAGTAGATCAATAGGTACCGCTCCGGCGGGAAGGTAACGACGCTCCATGCAGTCATGCTGGCCACATGACCTTGGAGGTGTCTACGGACAACGCTGGCTCTTCGGCTTAGAAATGGAGATGAGCACCACACCCCAGAGTCAAACATGACTGGACTTAATGTCAGGGGACTACCTTTACCTTTACCATCTCCCCAAGGGACTCGGTGCGGCTTACATGAGGCCAAGCCCACAATACAACAATACAAGCAATAACAGACACAATACAAAGCAATTTAAAATAAATCTCATACACAATTAGCATAAACATTAAACAAGGTACAGTGCACATTTTAAAAAAAATCTATGGCTGGGCCAAATGTAATTGAAGTTTAAAAAAAAATAATGCTAGGCATGAACAAGATAGAAGAGGTGGGGCGTTGGTAGAAACATACAAGCAGTCCTAAATCAGTATAAAGTGCTTTTGGAGGACATAATGCTAAGGGTTCATTAATCTGGGAAGGCACACTGGAACAATCACGTTTTCAAGCTCCTAAAGACTGCCAGAGATGGGGCATGCCTGATGTCCTTAGGGAGTGATCGGATTTAAATCGGATTATACGGCAGTTTAGGGCCCTTCCCAGGATCTGATCCCGGGTTTTTGTTTGTCCCAGATTATCTGGCAGTGAAGACTCATATAATCCAGTTTAAAGCAGAAAACCTGGGAATCATATCCTGGGATATAGGGCTTGTCTGGAAGAGCCCATAGGCTCACAAGATCCAGTTTAATGCGGATAATCTGCATCCAGAAAATGGATCATATGGCCCGTGTAGTTGGGAACTTGAGCAACCAGCAAATAAATATATATTTATCCAGCATCTCTCCATCCCTATGGGTGCCGGTTAACTAAGGCCCCTTACACACAGCTGTATAAAATCCACATTGAACTGTGTTAGATGGCAGAGTGGACTCAGATAAACCAGTTCAAAGCAAATATTGTCGTTGTATTGTCGAAGGCTTTCATGGCCAGAATCACTGGGTTGTTGTAGGTTTTTTCGGGCTATATGGGCATGGTCTAGAGGCATTCGCTCCTGATGTTTCGCCTGCATCTATGGCAAGCATCCTCAGAGGTAGTGAGGTCTGTTGGAACTAAGAAAAAGGGTTTATATATCTGTGGAATGACCAGGGTGGGACAAAGGACTCTTGTCTGTTGGAGCTAGGTGTGAATGTTTCAACTGACCACCTAGATTATAATGGCCTGACAGTGCCTGGAGCAAACTTTTGTTGAGAGGTGATTAGATGTTCTTGTTTGTTTCCTCTCTGTTGTTGTGCTGTTGCAATTATCTGCCTTGATATTCTGGGTTATATGGCTGTGTGGAGGGGTCCTGAGCCCACACTGCCATATATTCCAGTTCAAAGCAGATAATGTGGGATTTTATTTAGATGCGTGGAAGGGGCCTGAGAATCTACTGAACTAAACTCACATAACCTATAGATTGATTAACATAAAGGGATACAATGCACAGTTATAATGGTTGTGGACAATTGGGATTGTAGTCCACCACATCTAGACGGAGAACCAGTATGGTGCAATGGTTTGCACATAGGACTAAGGGTGCATCTCCACTGTAGAATGAATGCAGTTTGACACCACTTTGAATACCATGGCTTATTGCTGTGGAATCCTTGAAGTTGTAGTTTGGTGAAGCAGCAGCACTCTTGGGGAGGGAAGGCCTTGTAAAACTACAACTCCGGTGACTTGATAGCATAAAGTGGTGTCAAACTGCATTCATTCTACAGTAGAGATACGCCCTTGGACTGTGGGAGTCCAGGGTTCAATCCCTTGCTCAGCCTCGGAGGAAGATAAAACAAAAATCATCTCATGAGAAGTTCATTTTGTGGTCATCGTAAATTGGTTTGAAAGTACGAAGAACATCCTTGGTTACAGAAGGATCTGCGTCTCAGCTTTATGTTTGATACTGCAGCAGAAGATGGTGGTAATCTGCAGAATAAAGTTTTAGATTGGTAACTTTAGTTCAAATCCTGCAACTCTTAGTGTGTCTGGTTTTGGATCTTTGGGACACATCCGATTTAATCTGCTATTTGAAATTAAGCGGGATTGAGTCTGGTTGGTATGAATGAATGAAACTTTATTTCTGTCTCGCCCTATCTCCCCAGTGGGGACTCAGTGTGGCTTACAATATATAGAGAGGCAAACATTCAGTGCCATATAAAAATGCGAAATAACATAAACCAAAAGATAAAACTCAATTTAACATTCACACAAGTATCAAATACAATCAGACAATTGAACCAAAGACCAACAAATTCACAATATAATCTGAGCAGCCTCAAACTGTGACCCTCCAGTTGTTTGGACCTCCAACTCCCAGAAGCCCTAACGAGCTTGTTCAATTGTCGGGAATTCTGGGAGTTGAAGGCCCAAACAGCTGGAGGGCCGCAGTTTGAGGATGCCTGCTATAACCATTTCATATTTAACAGGGGTTTTTTTTTTGAAATAATAATAATAATAATAAACTTTATACCCCACCACCATCTCCCCAATGGGGACTCGGAGCGGCTTACATGGGGCCAAGGCCAGACAACATGTTACAGCAAAATAATACCAAAACATTGACAATAAACAACAGCAAAATTACATAGAAAAAGAATTTATATACACACAATAACAAAATAACATTCCAATAAACACATTCACGATAACAGTGGGCAGGCCACATGTACAGGATAAAATTATTAAAAGACTCTAATGAGATAAAAATAGGAGCAGGTTATTTGCTGGACATGAGACTGACGGGAACCTCCAGATCGTGTTTGGAAACAATTGCGCTTGAAACCATGCAGAACATGCAGTACTACCATGCAGTAGACATATACAAACAGAAGTAAATCCAAAACCCACAAAAAAGTGATGCCTTTATTGGCCAGCCAAAATGCAGAGAGCTGCTGCTAGTCTGCTTGACAATCCTTTGAAACAAGAAGTGTGGAGAGTACTGTATATGCCTTCTTTTAAAGGGAAATTGCACTGCTTAGGGTGCATGTGCACTGTCAAAATAATCCAGTTTAATGCCATTTTAACTGCCAAGACTCAATGCTATGGAATTATGAGAGTTGTGGTTTGATGACATCTTGGGCAGAGAAGGCTGAAGGCCTTGTAAAACAGCAACTCCCATGATTCCATGGCATTGAGTCATGTCAGTTAAAGTGGTATCAAATTGCATTAATTCTGCAGTGTAGATGCACCCTTAGACGCTTTTTTGGATATGGATTTCTTTTGAAACATGCTTGGCATTAGGGTAAAAATATTGAGCTTCTATTTATTGGATTCTACAAGAGCACCAAGAAGAGTTGAAGTGACTATAAAAATGGACTCACCTGCATTGTTGCTGTTAATTTTATTTATACCCAACCTTTTCCCCAGGTTTTTTGGGGTGGGAGATGGGAGGATTCAACCAGTTACAACATTTTAAAAAAAAAAGCAACAACAACAAATCAATATCCAGTTCATTATACAAGACCCATTTCTCCTAAGAAATCAATTCCCAAAAGTCTGCTGGAATGAAAAAGATCTGTACCTTGCTGCGGAAGGATAGCAAGGAGGATGCCAATCTGACCTTTCTAAATAACTTCAGGAGTGATGATCCAGATGATGGTGATCTACATCTTCCAGCATTTTTCACTGTATCAGTTAGCTATGGCTGCTGGAATTTGCAGTTCAACAGCAAATGGAGGATTGTGCGATTTCCTTCCCTAACCAGAACAATAAACTAGTTTTTAAAATAATTTGCTTTGCTCTATAATAGAATACTGATCCCAGGGGAGGAAGGAAAGCAAGGAAGAGGGGTGGAAAAAACAAGTCATTGCTTTACTGATCTTGCTTTTTGTTCACATGTTTCTAATTATTGTTAGCCAAATTATCCTTTTCATCCCAAGAAGAGTGCCATACAGTACTTTGTCAGTTTAATTTTATACTATACAGTTTTGATATTTTTGCTCTCAGCTTCATTGGTGTATGTTATGTTATTGTTTATTATTATCACATCTATTAATATGCCGCTTTTTCTCTCTTAAAAAGGACCCAAAGCAGCCAGCAATGCTAAAAACAACACAATGTATAATTTAAAACATAAGACATAAGAACACTGAAAGAGAAGTAAACATAGGAGTATTAAAATAAATAGATAAAACTAATATTTCTGCTTTTGTCTTCAAATAATAAAGCAACTCTGTGAGAATGAGCAATATATTAATATTTACCTATCTGCATATTGGAGGTTCTAGTGTACTATATATGTACTATTGGATTCACTCTGTTGTTAAATGCGTGTATTTCCAGAGTAGGTAATCAACTGGTAATTAAGCAAATGTGATATTTCACATTTCTGGAAACACTAAAGCAATAAAATCTAAGCATTGAAATAGAAACCAGTGAACAGCTTTAGAGTAGAGAAAATAGAGCATAGAACCAAAATGGGAAAGTTTTTTTTTCCTGTTGTTAGTGACATCTAGTGACAAATTGAAGTAATATTTATAATAATACCACAGAAATTGGTTGTAGGCAGCCATGTGTTTTATAACTGAAAATATATATACTTAAAAAAGAAATCTACATTGGATGTCAGCTAACTAATCATATCGAAGAAGGAATTGTTGCTTTGATGTGTCTGTATTATGGCCTGGTGTTTATGTTGGCATATCATTGTTCTGTTTTATTGAGCTATTTTTAGTGCATATTTTGTTCTTTCATAAATAATATGAAATATCTGAGATAATTTTAGTACATTCAGATTGGGAGAGGGAGCAATCTATGTAAATAATGATTACATGGTATGCCCCCAAAGAGTGATGTGAGTGCAAAACATTTCTGAATCAAGAAACATTTTGGTAATTTAGCACTAAACATGAAAGTGATACATGTGGAGAAGTAACATATTGAGCTGAGTTCCTGTCTAACCAGTTAAAAGAATGCTGGTAGACTTCTGCAATTCAAAATAAATGCAATTGGCCAATATCTACAATGGATTTTCATATTCGGTGCTACTGGAATTGGGTCTTTTTTGCTTCCTTGCTACTGCTGCAAACCCTCAGGGTACCAGAAACCTGTTCCGGGTGTTTCCCAGCCTTCCAAAGCAGGTTTCATGTTGATCTTTCAGAAAATGATGAGATCCAACAGATGTGAATTCAGATTAATATTTGCCCCAGAACTGAAGATGACTGTTCCAGGACGAATAGAACTATATGTATTTTATTCTGTGAAATCATCTCTTCACAACCAAATAGATCACTGGTTCCCAATCTTTTGTCCTCCCAGAAATTCCACCCATTTTACCAGCTGTTAGGAATTGTTGGATCTGAAGTCCAAAACACCTGAAGGACCAAAGGTTGGGAAACATTGCCATAGATGATTTTCAGAGAAAAATTTCCCATCCTCTGCCTTTTTATTCACACAAGTTATACCTTCCCGTTGGCATTCCTACTTTTTGTCTTCCCAAATTTCCTAACCAAAGCATTCCTGGCCATCCAGGGGTGTTTTAGTTGTGTGTTATCTGTATAAGAAAGAAGCCCAGCATGGAAGCAATGAAGGAAGTATAAAGAACTTTATTTGTGTTATAGAAACCTTGTTCCTGTAAATAGTGTAACCATATTATTTTACTACAGAGAAAAGCCTCCTTTAAAAAAAATAATTTATTGTATCATACATAGAAACATACAATCTTCAAAATTGAGCAGTCAAAATACCAGTATTTTTCCCCAATCCCACCACCACCAGATGGGGATGTGGTGTAGAGAAAAGCCTCATATGGAAGAGATAACTGCTCTGTGTGTTTTTGTTCTTTCTATCACTCTGGGCTACTGGTGCTAATAAGTTCTCTGTTGCTGCTAATAAGTTACTCTGCTGTACATTTATGGCGAGGGTCTTTTGTTAACAATAAGCCCACTCGCCCAACAGGACTTTGATATGTCTTCCTGCCTGGCTGAAGAGGGTTGGACTAGATATCCTTTGGGGATCTCTTCTTCGTACTTGTCCTCACTCCCCTCCCTTTCTTCCTCCTCAACTGTGGCTTGGGTCTCTATTTGGGCCACTGCCAATGGGATGGAGGTGGAAAACCAAGGAGGACAAGGAGGAGCAGGATAGCAGGGGCTCAGGCTGCTGCTGCTTTATATTGTGGCGTTGTTGTCTTGTGTGTTACTAAGACTAGTCAGGGGCCATTTGTGCACTGCAAGAGGCATCTAACGATAATCCTGGGAAATGTATGTTATTACATTTTAGAGAGTTAGCATACTATGGTGGTTGGAGTGTTGGCCAAGGGCTCATGCAACCTGGGCTCAGCCTCAGAGACCCCTTGGATGATTTTTGGCAAGAAAAACTTTTAGCTTCAAAGAAAGGCAACAATAGCCCATCTCTGAACAAATCTTGCCCAGAAAACCCTGTGATAGGTTCATCTTAGGACTAATAAAAGATAAAATCCTAAGGCAAACAGATCACAGGGTTTTCTGGGCAAGATTTTTTCAGTGATTTAGTTAATAAAATATAAATTATTTAGTCTTGAATGTGCTATTAAATTCTTTTTCCCCTCCTCGCTCCCCCTTTATGGTTTATTTTAGCATGAACTTTTATGGAGTTCAGTCTTCTTCAGACACGTTGATGGCATTAATATTAAACCTCATGTATGTTAGCAGTTACGTAGATGTGGGGGTGAGATCAGAGGATAATATGAAGCAGAATGATGCAGTGTATGACCTTGTTCAGAGACCTTCATGCTGTTGCGTAGGATGTACAGGTTTGGCAGGCTGGTCGAGAGTTCTCATGTGTGAAAGCCAAATGTCTGCTTAATAAGAGTCGGTTTCCTTGAAGTCAGACGCTTTGTTGGGAGAATTCAGTATGCCACATACCTTGTTATGAGGCCTTATGTATCAGTATATATAGTGTGCCAAAAACCTGCCTACTAATGGACTGAATGTACGAGTGCTGTGCATATATAGTACATAATTTAAAACATCTCTGATACTTGCCAGTGAGAGGTTTCCTTCATAATACTGATGGCGATGGGGATTTTCATTGGCATTATGGAATTGTACTTTTCCTCTTTTAATGGGTTCACTGAAAATCCCCGCTCTAGCACTGTATTAAGTTTTAAAATATAGATACAGTTGCTGGCCACATAATTAAAATAACATCTAGGTTATTTTAGATGATTTTATTGCTGCTATTGTATTAATTTGATTATTTTAATTAGTTATAACTGTTGTCGTTATATTGTATTTTGTATATTGTATTTTGTGAACTGTTGGGCATCGAATTGTGCCTTTTGTAAGCCGCCCTGAGTCCCCCCTAGGGGGTTGAGAAGGGCGGGGTAGAAGCACTCCAAACAAACAAACAAACAAATAAATATGTTAAATAGATGGGAACAGCCACCTTTAATTTTCCTGAGCTCTAGGTTTTCTTCTTGCATTGAAGGTTCTCATTGTTCTCCAACCTGCTCTTGTCTTTAGGACTGGGATTCAATATAGTTGGTGGGAGAGACCAACAGCACATCTCCAATGACACTGGCATCTTTGTTAGCCGGATCAAAGAAAATGGAGCTGCGGCACTGGATGGACGCCTACAGGAAGGAGATAAAATTTTAACAGTGAGTCATTTCAAGGACAACAAGAATTATCCATATTTCCTCAAGTCTGATGTGCCATTTAATCTAATGCACACCTCAGTTTTCAAAACTCTAAAACAAAAATGCTGGTAAATATAATGTGCAATGACAAAAAGTACACTCTTTGTAATTTGGCCAAAAAAAGGTGCACATTACAATGACTGCATGCTTGTAATTCCCTCTTTAAAAACAAACATGTTAGAACACCAAGGCTTCCAGCAATGGAAAAGAAATCCTTGAGGTGCATCTATGCTGTAGAATAAGTCCACTTTAACTGCCTTGGTTCAAAGCTATGGAATCCTGGGGGCTGTAGTTTGACAAGGCCTTGAGCCTCCTCTGCCAAAGGGTGTGGATGCCTCATCAAACTACAGGATTACATAGCATTGAGCCATGGCAATTAAATTAGAGATGGCATCTCTCAATTAGGAGTTCCAGGTGCTCCTGAAGTAGCTTCCCCTTTTGCTTTGGCTCAGCACTAAGATTACCATATTACGTGAATCTAATGCATACCCTAATTTGACAAATTTAGCCAAAAGAGGCGAGCATTATATTTGAGTAAATATGGTATTTACTTATTATTTTTTTAAAATTATATCCCACCTTTCTCCCAATGTGGGATTCAGTGTGGCTTACTATTATTTGTTAAAAGTTAATCTAAAATGTTAGGAGTACATGCCCCCCCCCCACCACCTTGGAGGAAAGCTTGGTCCCACAACCCCATTTTTTATGAGCTCCCCTTCTCAAATAACCTACTTTTCCTTTTATCTCACCCGAGTTTTTTAATCATTTTATTCTGCACATGTGGCCCACCCATTGTTAACTGTGATTGTGTTTATTGTAATTTTATATTGCTAATGTATTCATATGTTTTTATGTAATTATGATGTTGTTGTTTGTTGCTTGTGTTTTTTGTTTTATTTTGCTGTGATTTGTTGCTTGGGCTTGGCCTCATGTAAGCCGTCCTGAGTCCCCGTTGGGGGAGATGGTGGCGGGGTATAAATAAAGATTATTATTATTATTATTATTATTATTATTAAGCGATTGCTATTGTTGTGTACCTTCAGGTTGCTTTTCACTTATGGCAGCCCTAAGGTGAGCCTATCATGGGTTTTTCTTGGCAGAATTTGCTCAGAAAAGCTTTGCTTTTAAGGTCGAGAAAGTGTAACATGTCCAAGGTCATTGAGCATTATGTACTCCAGATGTGGACAGCGAAGAGTCTTTGGGTCATGAATGTTTGCTGTCTATATGGGCAAATCCCCTGAAAATTATTGATTCCCCACCACCACCCTCAATTTAGTGGTAGAATGTCTTGGAATTGTGTCATCTTGTGCTCTTTATTTTATATTATATTGTAAACCTGTGTGTTTATTCAGTTATTACACAGCCCACCCACTCCCCATTTTTTGATATTTTGTTTTTTTTGGTCCATACCCTGGGGTTATTTGGGGCACTAATTAAAAAAATTGTATTAGATAGAGTGCATCAGCTCTAGTTTCTTAGATATGGTTATGACAATTTTCTTTGGGCAAGTAGATAGCAACTGGTATGTGGCATATGTTTTGTATCTCAAAAACTAGAGCTGATAGGGGGAAATAGGTGCCATTTTTGAAATCAGTGGGTCAAATATATCCAGAAACAAGACTAATATTTGAGGCACCAAATTGTGTGGTGGCCAGTGAATTCACATTGCTTTATGGGGTGTTTACTCCCAAGTATATTAATATAGGATTTTTTTTATTGGTTTCGTTCATAGTCAATCTATGAACCAAACCAAATTACTAAAATTACATTTTGGGCAGCTAAAAGAGCAAGTTCTAATTAAAGCATGAGAACATGTGCAATAAAAACACCACTAAAAACTCATAAATAAGAACAGAAGCTCTCATTAGAATAAAAATAATTTCAGCTGCAGATCGTTTTAGATGCCCCAAACCTGTCCAAATAAAGATGTCTGCTTGCCAACTGAAGGGCAACAGAATGGATTGTGCCAGGCTTTCCTTGCCAAAGAATTTCAGGGCCTGGAACTGCATCCCTGTTTAACAGTTAAACCTTTTAAGAGTTGAAGATATTCCATTTTGTTTTACTGTTTTGGATGCTTGCATTTAATTTTGTTTCAAAATGTTCAAAATGGGAACATAGCACACATCTGTAGAAGCAACACCCGCAGTCTCATTTAATACGTTCAACATATTCTATGTCCTCCAGAACAACTCTGGCATTCTTGAGCTAGGTATCCTTTGTTTCAATAGGATTTGCTATTATCTGCAGTTCTGTATATCCATGTGAAATCCGGGAACATATCCCTTGTGGATCATACTATATATGGTTGTTGATTATGTGTGAATAGTAAGCATTTGTACTGCTGGTTGCTGCTTTTTGTTTTGTTTTTAATGTAAAACTTTGAATATGTAAAATTCTATTTTTAAAAGTAATGTAAGCAGGGTTGTTCTTACATCTTGTGTAACAAAATTGTAGTTTTGTAGTAATGATCATTAACCTGAGAGCAAGGAACCATTTTTTTCTTTTTGTTTTGTTATTTTACTTGTAAAGTTCATACAGCGATGGTGCTGCATAAATCAATACTGCTGTTGGTGAAATCATTATCACTGTTTACCTAAACTGACTTGTCTACTTGTGGATACAATTATTCTGTTCAAACTGACCAGAATGATGGTGTTTTTTGCAGGTTAACGGTGAGGAGCTGACGGACATGCTCCATCAGGATGCTGTGGATCTCTTCAGGACTGCTGGTGACCACGTTTCCTTAAAGGTTCAACACAGGGTGTGTATTCATGGATCCGGAGATCTATCACTTTACTTCATCTTTGCAGATGACGAATGTTATTAAGTGAGAAGGAATGAGAAATCCTTCTTGTCATTGCGGAGATGTTAAAGATTAATTTTTGAAGTCTCATATGTGCTTGTGACTTTTCTGGTAACTTTTCCACTTAGCTGAAACAGTTGTAAATTTGTCCATGTAGACAGATAGATGTCTTCACAAAAGTTTATGTGTGCCTTAACATTGTAAACTAGCCAATCTTCAATCTGATACTATAAGGATTTGTTAGATTACACCTGTCAACATCAGGAATGATGACAGATGAATTCCAGCACATCAGGAGGGTAATATTCTGTAAAAGGTTTTCTGTAAATGGTTATCATTTCCATATACATGCATCCACATTGTTAATAGCATTCACCATCTGAAATGGGCAAGCTAAAATCTTCTCGTGCATAACTTTATTTGTTTGCTTGTTTGTTTACTTCACTTGTATACTGCTTTTCTCACCCCAGGGGGGGACTCAAAGCGGTTTCCAACATATTTATGGCAAAATTTAATGCCTCACATATATATGAAACTTAACATAAAACAACAATAACATATAACTATCGATTAGATCATAAAAACGTAACAACATTTAAACATTAAAACATGGAGTTAAAAACATATTAATATAAACGTTAAACATTAAAATCACATAATCCAAAAATCATGGTCCAAGGCCATTCCAAATATCAAATGTCAATTGATCATAATCCCTGATCATTCTTTGTTTTCCTTACTGCCCAAAGGCTTGGTCCCATAGCCAAGTTTTTACTTTTTTTCTGAAGACCAGAGGGAGGGTGCTGATTTAATTTTGATGGAAAGGGAGTGCTATAGGCGAGGAGCCACCACTGAGAAGGCCTATCTCTTGTCCCCACCAGTTGCGCCTGCGAGGGGGTGGGACTGAGAGCAGGTTGATCTTAACCTCCAAGATGTTTCATAATGGGAGATACATTTGGGGCCAGAACCGTTCAGGGCTCCGTAGACTAAAGCCAGCACTTCGAATTGTGCTTGAAAGCAGACTAGGAACCAGTGGAGCTGACGTAACAAGGGGGTCATGTGCTCCCTATACCCCACACCAGTGAGCAGTCTGGCTGCCGCCCACTGGACTAATTGGAGCTTCCGAACAGTCCTCAAAAGCAATCCCACGCAGAGCGCGCTGCAGTATTCTATTCAGATGCAACCAGAGTGTGGACTACCGTGGCCAACTTTCTTATTGAAGAGACTGTTTAAGACAGTTTTAGGGTGCGGGTAAGAGGCAGAAAGAAACTGTAAAAGATAAGAACAAAACATAAAATCAGACGTGTAGTTTTACATGTTCTTCAGCATGTGGGAAATGTCTGAAGGAAGAATGAATTAAAACAAACCCCTGTATATATTAGCCATATCTCATTAAAGTGTAACATGAACACCAGCTTTCAAGACTTAATGATTCCTACAGTTTTGCCAAATATTAACTTTAATCAGAGTGCTCCAGTTTCTTGTCAGAGTCTTGGTCATGCTTGATTTGGGAAGTACATTCATTATTTGTTTACCTGTCTTTCTTTTGATGTAATATCTGTCATACAGTTACTTTTTTCCCCTTACAGCTGATGCCCCAGAATGGTCCCTCAAGCCACCGAGGGGATGGAGACCCAGGAGGCGTTCCTTTGGCTGTGATTTTGGTGCCTGGACTGGCCATAACGGTGGCTGTAGTATGGGCCTTCCTGAGATACCGACAACGGCTGTGACCCACACCACATCTGGGAGAACTTGATGCACAGCAAAGCCTACAAATCTGAGATGCAATTTAAAGAGAACAAATTGACTGTCTTTGGGTTGTCATTGGGGGAGGAGAGAATCATTGCCTAATGTAAAGTTACTGCCGTGTGTGATGTGATGAATTTCATGCACGTTAGCAGTCAGAGTGTTTACGAACCAGAATGTCCCACTTTGCTGGTCCTGCAGAAGTTTGGTTCAGCTTCTTCTGATAATATTCTTTGGCTCCATGATTTTTTCCATGGCTCTGTGTTTTTAAAACATGTACTGCAATGGAAGGTGGTGCAGTGAGACTCCCTTGATCCCACAGCCTCTTGTTGCTTGTCAGGTTAATTCTGAAACTAGAGGAACACATTTGGGGCAGCCACCAAGCTCACTGTGGTTTGATAGGGAAAGGGAGGAATATGATGCCTTGGAACAGGACGAGCATGATGCCCTGTAAAAAGGAAAGATGTGCCAGTTGAAAGGGTCTCTGAATGGCAGGCAGAGCCTCTAGATGCAGAGTGAAAAGGAGCACTGGATGAGTTCTTAGATATGCCCTTCTAAATCATCATTAAAGATTAAAGTAGTGAGAGATGAAAACAGTGATGAGTATTTCTATTTCTTAGCCTTTTGGTGAAGGGAGACTGGGTTATTTTCTTTATGACATGCCTTAGGAGAACACATTAAGTTTAATCTACAGTTTGGGGTAGGTTGCTGAAGCCAAGCCATAAATGTTGGGATTGGTTTTATAAAGCTAGGAGACATTATGGGAGAGGGCCTCTAATGAAATCACATATGCTAACTTGCAAACCGGTAATGGGCAGATCATTTCTTTGGAAGTAAATTCCACTGAAATAAACTTGAGTGCATGTCCAGGTACATATGCATTCAAGATTCAGGCTGAAAGAAAGGGTACTAAAGTTTAAAGGAAGCTTATGAGCTGGCAATGTTTGTTTTGTTAACAGTGGAATTGTGAACCTCTCATTTACAGAAAAAGGTTGAATGTATGGAACATTAAGCCTAATAATCTACCTTTAAAATCATTGCAAGCTGCCTTGGGTCAGGTAGATGCCTCTTTGTATTATCTTCTGGGGTATTGGTCACTCTGTGCTTCCAAGTTGAAGCACTCAGAAAGTGGCTTCCCCAATATGTACCAGTAGAAAACAAATATGGTAACATATTTGCTTTGGAGACAGAAACCCAACCTTAGCCATTGTGTAGCTTTCATTCTGCTCCAGCCTGGGGTTGTGAGAGAAATTAATTGAAAAATCACTGCACTGACATCGTGCAACTCATTTTAACCATAGCCTTGTTTTTGGGCTGGGTAGTCACTGCAGGTGGAATCATTCGGAGGTGAATATCACATATTCACAAACCATTGCCCCATTTCACTTCTAAAGCAATAGATGACATATAGTGTTACATTCCAGTGACTTCTGATTTTGGAATGATTTAGATGTAATCAGTGTTTGTAGGTGAGGAACAGAGCTTACATTCTTTTAACAATCCAGTGGAACTCAGATTTTTTCGAACTTCTTTTTAAGTTCCCAAATTATTCAGTATCCCTTCCAAGCAATGAATATGCTACACATCCTTTGATTCCAACCTATAAAGGCTTAGTATGGATCGTTTTTAGAGACTTACTTTTGCAGGTTGTAAAGCCAGGAAATGTCTTTTACATAGGCAAAAATATGTAAGATGGTGAAATGTAACATAAACAAAAACTGGCAAGAATTTCACTTTCAAGTTTGTAAAACTCTCCCACACTGATGGTAATGTACTCTTCAATGATTTGAGCTCACTGGGATAGCATCCATTTTACTCTTAAGTGAATGTGTTTTTGTACTTTGGAAAAGAATGTTGATGTATGAGGTCCGTTTGATGCCAAAAATTATATCACATATACAGTATACCTATTGAGACTTTACATTGTGCTTTTCTTTTTCATTTAATGTTTCTTCACATTATTATTATTTTTTTAAGGGTACAGTCAGCCCTCCATATTCACTAAGGTTACTGACCCTTGTGGAAATGAAAAACAATGAATAAGGAAATGGTTATTTTTAAATTTGAGATAATACATCTCCAGGAATTTCTAGGTTTTCTAGCATTCCCCTGTGGTTAATGTCCACTGGAAGCTGAACATAGAACTGTATTAGAGAACCTAGAAAAATATTCTGTTTAGAAATTTCTAGGTCGTCCATCACAGCTCAGGGAAATTGATAATTGGGCCACACTGGATCACCTATCCTAAAGATTCCTAGAGAAGATCTTTGAAGTAATCTTTTTGGTCTTTGACTCCAGGAATCCCCCAGTCAGCTTTGGCAGTGACATTATCATCCAAAAAGTAACTTTTACAAGCTCTGTTCCAAACTCACTCCAAACGCATATTCCTCTTTCCCTCAGCTGATGGCATATGTACTCTTTCAATTAACATGGCCTCCTTATTGTTGGAATCCGCCGCGAGTCCCCCAAGAGAGATAGAGCGGAATATAAATAAAGTTGTTGTTGTTGTTGATGATGATGATTATTATTATTAATTGTAGTAACAAGACCCTAAAACATGCAGGCCCCTAAAATATGCTGTTGCATTTACACAGCAACCACCATTTGTGATTGTGAGCAATTTCACAAGCCAGTACTGAAGTATGCTATTTTGAACACCAAAGGGGAAATAGCATTTTGAATAGTATATGCATCAAAGACTTCAGCAAGTAGAAAATCAACATAGGAAGGAAGTGAAGCTAGACTCTCTATTTAATGTATGGTACCTAGCTTGACAGCAGGTGATGAACCAACCTGGACACAGCTATTATTTGAGAACACAGAAATGCTGGACCACTCTAACAACTACCATGTTAGACTACACAGAGAAGCCATTGAAATCCACAAGCATGCGGACAATTTCAACAGAAAGGAGGAAACCATGAAAATGAACAAAATCTGGCTACCAGTATTAAAAAAACTCTAAAATTACAATAGCAAAACAACAGAGAGGAAGTAATAAGGGACAGCTAATCACCTCTCAACAAAAGATTCCCCCAGGCACTAACAAGCCACACCAAAAAAACTGCCAGGCCATTAAATGCTAATCAAGGTGGTCAGTTGAAACATTCACACCTAGCTCCAACAGACAAGAGTTCTTTGTCCCACCCTGGTCATTCCACAGATATATAAACCCATTTTTCCTAGTTCCAGCAGAACTCACTATCTCTGAGGATGCTTGCCATAGATGCAGGCGAAACGTCAGGAGAGAATGCCTCTAGAACATGGCCATATAGCCCGAAAAAACCTACAACAACCCAGTGATTCCAGCCCTGAAAGCCTTCGACAATACATTGATAATAATACTAATAATAATTATTATAAAGATAATAACACTTTATTTATATTCAGCCCTTCTCCCAAGGGGACTCAGAGCAGATTACAATATATAAACAGACACAGGCAGACATTCAGTGCCTTCTTACATGACATACAATGAGAGACAAAGGCAAAGGCTTCTTCTTTCATTTCTGGCTCTGAAGGCGGTGCTCATCTCCAGCTCTGGGAGAAGTGCTCTTTCTCCATTTCCAAGCTGAGGAGCCTGCGTCTGTAGACACCTGATTGTGTGGCCAGCATGACTGCTTGGAGCGTCTTTTTGCCTTTTCCTGCAGTACCTATTGATTTCACATTTGCATGTTTTCGAACTGCTAGGCTGACAGTAGCTAGGGCTAACAGTAGAGCTCACCCCGTCCTGTGAATTTGAACTGCCAACCTTCAGGTTAGCTGTTCAGCAGCATAAGGGTTTAAAAATCATGACTGGTTTCATTTAAAAATACATAAAAGAAGTAGGATGTAGATAAAACCTATCAAAACAATGGTAAAACATGAAAACTAAAACCAAAATTTTACAATTAATTAAAAACAATCAGCAAATTCAGATTAAAAGTTTGTAACTAATAATGTGTTTGTCCAGTGCCCAAAAGGACAGTAAACTAGATGCAAGACGAGCCACATCTTTAGATATGTCTTCTCCTTGGTAGTCAGCTTTCTTGTCTCAAGATCTGGGGGCATACCCAGGAGGTCTTAAACAGTCAATATTTAATGTATCAATAAGTTGTGTAGTGATCTGAGTGTTGGATCTGTACTCTGGGAGTGGGATAAGGTTCAAATACTCGTTCAACAATAGAGGCCCACTGACTGAACTTTGGCAAATCACTATCAGCCTCCTCAAATAGATCTTCCCCCACTGCCACTATTTGAAGACCAGAATGAAAGTTTGAATGGCAATTGCATGGCACTGAAATACAGTGTAGAATTACATTCTCATAATGTGTCTATCATCTGCCACAATCCTTGTCCCCTCTTTTTCCTTGTTTGGCAGGGACAGGGAGGGATGGAACAAGTGGCATCCTGTGGCCCTGGTTGACTAGTGACCCAAGAGCCTTTCCTGAACCATGTGCCTTCAAATCTATATACAGTAGTATAATGGAGTTTGTATCTTGTGATACAACCTAATGATAGTCACATCATGTCCATTATTGTTCTACACATTTTCTGGGGTGATTATTGGTTAAAACCTGAAAATGATACAAGTCATGCAGAAGATTTTCCACTCAAATAAAGGTTAAAAATATCTCATTCAGTCCAGAGTCTTATTACTATAATTTCATTGAAGCCAAAGCAACTTATTTCTTTACACATATGACCTCCTTCTTGTCCAAAGTTCAGATTTTTCCAGTAGACTTTCTCTGAAATGTACTTTCATCAAGCACAGCGTGGCTCCTAAACGGAATTTGGAGACTAATACACTGGAAAAATTGATTTTTTTCCCCCAAGGGCAAATTCCTATATCTCTAGATCTCAACAGAAGATAACTAATCCTATAAGGCTTTTCAGATAGTCTTATATTAGCATTTCTCTCCTGAAGCTGCTTGGGAATTTCCATGTTTTAGAAGAATGACTTTTCTCTTGTTTGGTGTTCACATAGGACATGTAGCCTATTTTATTGAATACTGAACACAATAAAACCATAGCTGCTCCCAGAACTCTGCTCCCTCCAGTTGTTGCGACCCGCAGATCTCAAGTAGTACAGAAGAAGCTGTTTCTTCAAAAGCTGTTATTCAATTTATAATACCTGTCAGCAGGTACCGATTACTGCCTTTTCCCTGCTGAGTTAAGGATAGATGGGGGAGCAGTCCCTCAATAGAAGGAGCTCTACAACACTGGCATTTCCAATTGCCACCTTTTTGATGTGAGCAGCTGAGGGGTTTTTTTAGCTGTCCTGGGCTGAAATTATCATTGATCAGACTGAAAACTGACCCTTCAAAATTGTTCTGTGGACATCTACAGGGTTTCCAAAGCAAAATGACACTCTCAAGTCGTATGTAGTACAGCTTATTTTGATTTCGAATTTTGTATTGAAAAGCCTTCTTATTGAAAAGGTTGTCTTTGGCATAACAATTTTCTGTTCTCCATCTTCCTTTTATACTTCTTCTGGAGAGACTTGTGAGAACAGTTTCTTGTTTAGCTGTGCTAGCCAGGAAAGGAAAATTGACAGAAAAAAGATCAACAAAAGATGAAAAATGACAAAGGCTAGGTCGTGAATGCTGCATTATTCTTTTTCACATTCAAACATGCCATTCCTTTTTGGTTATCCACATCAAATAAATTGTGATAGAAGTACAGAAAGAGATAATCACTAACTCTCCTTTCTTCCCTTATTTAGAAGAGTCAAAACAGTCATCTTTGCATATGAGCATCAGCAAACTAATAGACAACAGAACTAATAAGAAGATAAATGGAAAACTTTACCACTTTTTCTCAAAAAATGAATCCACCAACTAGAGGCCAAATAGAAGTATACTGATGACACAATGTTTTCTGAGACAGAGTGGCATTTGTGCCTAATATTTACTAGGCTTCCTAATTTGGTCATAGAAATAGTCCATTTTCTAAGGTCTTTTCTGTTCTGGTGTATTTTTGCTTTGCTTTACTTTGTTATTATTTGTGTTATTTAGCAAGACTTTTATTTAAACCAGCTGAAAAGATAATTATTTAAATGTCATTCTCAATACATTTGGACTGCAGGTCTGTCTGAAATCTCAGCTGATTTGTCTCAGATTAAGACTGTCCTATGAAATAAAAAAGCAAAAGAAATATATATTTGTTTTGTTTATCTAAGAGAAAGCAGAGGAAGGCGCTATTTGTAGGCTGCCTCCAATGGTTTTTCCTTACTTCTTTGGAGAGAACTTCTGGGATGAGAAGCTAGGGGAATGTTCAAGTCTTCTCCATTTCTGTTGTGAACTTCATTAATTCATTGGTTTCTGTTCGGCACTTAACATAGAAACATGAAGTATTAACACCTCAATTATTTCATCACTGTCGACCTTAGGAAACTATTTCTTGATTTAAGACACTGGCTTGGTGAGTGATATCTGAACAGAGGATGTGCCGAAGATGTCAATGCCTTGGTCCTTTCATTACAGGCTGCTACTTCCCACCAGATGTCAGGTGGTGCGATACCGATTAAACAGTATAATTTCTCCAGTGGTGTAGGGTGTAGACATCCTGTTATAATGCAGCATGTCTCATTAAGAGCAGCATCCATTGTTTTAACATGGTGAGATGTATTCCACACTGGGCATGCATATTCAGCAGCAGAGTAGCAAAGCATAAGGGAGGATGTCTTCACTCACACAGAAGACAGAAGAACTGCCTGCCTCAGGGGAGCATGCTTGCTCCATCAATGTCTAACATTTACACAAGCCACTGCCTGAAGGGACAGAGCGTTTCATCTATGCTGACAATCATGCCATCACTGCTCAAGCAGGGAGCTTTGAAGGGTTGAACCGAAGCTCTCCAAAGCTTTAGGTGCTCTTACTGCCTATTATAAGGAAAACAAGCTGACCCTAATTCATCTAAAATGCA